CTCATACACCCAGACCAATCAGGATTCGTCCCAAACAGGGAGGCTAAACATAACACCAATAAAATACTTAACCTGATCCATTTTTCTCAACACACCCCCAAGCAAAGCGTCATCTTCTCGGTCGATGCCGAAAAAGCATTTGACCGAGTGGATTGGGCTTTCCTCCTAGCCACACTGACAGCGTTGGGCCTCGGCCCAAATTGGATCCGGTGGATCCAATCCATATATTCAAACCCAATCGCTAAAATTCGAATTAATGGCCAACTTTCACCACCTGTGCGAATATACAATGGAACAAGACAGGGATGCCCCTTGTCCCCATTACTCTTCATACTAATCCTAGAACCGTTCCTACAAGGAGTAAGAGACAACCCTGGCATACACGGTTTCCATATAAACAACCAAGAATATAAGGCTTCTGCTTTTGCAGATGACCTGTTATTCACGATAATGGACCCAACCACATCCATGGGCCCCTTAGTGGAAGAGTTAGAGCAATACCAAGTAGTGTCCAACTTTAAAGTGAACTTCACCAAAAGTGAAATCCTCCCTTTACGAATAGACCCCCACAACGCAAACTCTCTTAAAACTCGATTCCCTTTCAAGTGGACAAACAAAGCGATAAAATACTTAGGAGTACAACTCCCGAAAAACCTCTCCTCACTATACTCTCTTAACTATAAACCCCTCTTAGAAACAATCTCCCAAGATCTAGCACAATGGTCGAAACCCCACTTTGGATGGCTCTGTAGGGTGAACATCATAAAGATGACCACTCTACCCAAAATACTTTACCTCTTACAAGTTTTACCAATCACACTCCCAAAAGCCTTCTTCTCTACGATGAGACGGCTCTTCTCGGAATTCATTTGGGCGCACAAACACCCTCGACTCAGCTACACAACTCTGACTAAAAGGAAAAATAGAGGGGGCTTGGGTTTACCTGATATTGAAACCTACTATAAGGCAGTCATACTACATCGCATATACGAATGGACAGCACCGCACCCGCACAGACAATGGAGAACTATAGAAGAGACGTTCCTCTCCACACACGCACACAATGTAGTCTGGCACCCCAAAGGGCGAATGCTACAAAAGCCACCCTTCTCCCAACACCCGACCATCACCCCCGCACTGAAGGTTTGGAACCAAATCAGGGATTCCCAAGTACTATCCCCACACCCATCTCCGCGCTACCCGATAACAAACAACCCTCTTTTTCCACCGGGCTGTCAAACCCAATTCCTACAACACAACACACAATCACAACAACTCACACTACAAGATGTGATACAAGGGGGAAACATTAAACCACTGACAGATCTCATAGTTGACTCCCGGATAACAACGATGCACACTTTCCAACACGCACAATTGACACACTTTCTTAAGGCCGACAATACCCTTCTAACGAAACTCCGCCACAGACAGAATTCGAAAATCTATGCCAAACGCAGGGGATCAAAAGCAAACACCTCTCAACTATGTACAAACTCCTCCAAAAAGACAACAATACTAGTTTCCCACCATTTACACAAACATGGGTGTCCGATCTGAACACATCAATCCCCGACACCGACTGGACGAAAATTCTAACCAAGGCTCACTCTACTACAACGAATAGCACCATACAAAAAAGTAACTACAAAAAAATTACCAGATGGCATTATACACCAGACAAATTGAGTAGAATATACTCAAACACCCGGAACCTTTGCTGGAGATGTAACCAAACCCCAGCTACATCCGCACACATATGGTGGTCTTGCCCTATAATAAATGCTTTCTGGAAAAAAATCTCAGACCTGATTAAACACATCACAGACATCTCTCTACCCTTCCTCCCAGAATCTTACCTATTCTTGCTACCCCCAACCGACATCCCTAAGACACGACTCCACCTCATCAACCATCTACTGACGGCAGCAAACCTACTAATACCTATAAAATGGAAACAGACCCTAGCACCCTCAGTTAGGGAATGGATACAAAAAGTGGAAGACACTAGGGTCATGGAAGAACTTACCTTCTCACTCACCCATAGATACGCACACTACAAACAAACCTGGGAACCTTGGACCCAATTTCTAGACAGAGGCAATCAGGAGTAGGGAAAGGGACACAATCGAGAGCACCACACGGTAAGACCGAAAATTGACACTATACACACTAGCTGTAGACTATAACCAAAACCTTACCACAAGGACGAACCTAACGATCTCTCCAGTCACGGCTACCACACACGAGGACTGACGCAGACAACATAGACTACATATTCGTAATATCTCCGACACATAGAGTTATTTGATTGTGCCATTGTAAACTGACATGAAGCCACATCATCTACACAGCTGGTATATTATTTACGCATTGTTACGTTTTACGAAACCAATGTTACTGTTAATCCGTTCTCAAAATGACGAATTGTTATATAATCACCCTGACGGGTTTAGCAATCCGAGAAAGGATTGTTGTTCATCTACACAAACTGAAGTATGAGAAACGATTGTTATCCATCTTTGCATACCAAAATAAGAGAAATGTTTGTTACTCAATTATGTATATTGAAAAATAAAAATATAAAAAAAAAAAATATTTGGATCTATTTGGATGGTTTAGCTTGCTGTTGTCATCTGTAGCTGCTCTGGTCTCTGCAGGATAGAGCTTTTGAATTTCACAGACATCGTAATACCCTCTAAATCGTGTATATGTTACAACCTAACACTAAATGCCTTCTTCAATCTCGGTTAATTCTATTATCTCTATTACATTTGAACTTCACTGGGTTGTTGGGGGGCGTTTGGTTAATATACAGTCTGTTTATCGCCTCTTCAGGAAGGTAACTGAGTTAAATAGCTAAAAATAATATTTGAGACACTGAACATTCTTATCAGGAATATGTATGAAGTGAAGGACTCTATTAGTGCCATCTTCACTATGTTACCTTTATCTGTTACCTTACATAATAAAGGGAATCCCATTCCAAGAATGTATTACCCAAATATTTGTGCATACATATAATATCATAAAACAATAATTCCATATATGTTCATATAACATCAAGCAATTAATCAGTGATTTATCCAGTGTGCTCTCAGTATTAAACAAGCAGGGTTATTTACTAACGGGAGAATTCAAAGTAAATTCAAGGTGAATTTCAAATTTAAGTTCAAAATAGCCAAACTGGAAACATTCTCCAAGTTAGCTATGCTTTCATTTCTTTTATACTTACCTTAAATTTGAAAATCACTTTAAATTTTCACTTTAGCAAATAGCCCTGATGTAGTCACTTCATTAGTTAGACAATCAGTTTCTTCTATTTGTGCACAACAGACTTCTGTCTATAGTGAATTTTGATTTGTCAGAATTTGGGGATATTGGCAGGTTGTCCAAATTCATTTCGAACTGCCATATGGACTTATTACTAAATAAACAAAATGGACAAAGTTTCATTTTATTAAAGATTCAGAGTTCTGCCCATCGCACCAAAAAAATATATTTGATGACTAGGGGACAGCCACTAAATGTTTTTCTATTGATTATTTACGATATATGAATGTACATGATTTTATTGATTGATTATATGTAATTATAATTTCCCATAATATTATGTATATATTTTGCATTACACTAATTGGCCTATCTTTTAGTTTGTCCAAACTGTTTTTCCCAAAACAGTTGCATGGACATTAGTCTGAAGATAAATGCAGAATGAATACATTTCTGAACACGCAAAATTCGGACGAACCAATTCAACTGACCCAGATTTTTTTGGTCATACACAAGTCTACTCCACAATGCCCTACAAGCTACAGACTATGGAATGTTCAATATTTCTATGCCAATTATTGAATTTGCTTAATAATTGGAATATAAAGGTTCAAGATGATATTTCTACTGTGATTATGGCAGTTTGTGTTACATTATGGGCATTGTGTGTGGTGGATCTCTATCATGTGATAAAGGGTTCATACTATTCGATCTATAACAGTCGAGGCCTGCACTTAAATTGAATTACTGTGTGTGCTACTAGTTGATATTTCTTTTATTGGGCATTATGCAGACACTGACTATTGACTAGATGCGCTTATACTATTTATTTAGGTTGGTGATACTTTTGCATATATCATTTCAAAATTTTGTTTACTATCTTTTTCCTTTTATTCATTGCAATTTTTGATTGTTAATTTTATCTGAAATTGTTTTATGCCATTATATATAACTGCACATTAATACATCTATTATTGAGAGTTTAAATTCTTGTTTGCATGAACAAAAGCATGTTATTAAATTTACTTTCATACTTATATACAAATAACGGCTTTAATTTACTACTTTTGGGTATGATTTTTAAATGATTTAGTATTTTTGGATAAACTTTTATTTTTTTTCTACAAAATATAATATCAAAAATATTTTATGTCTTAAAGATATGTCAATGTATAAAAAATATCAACATATTTTTTAAAGCATTAAATCTTTTTAAAAGTGTAGTCAAAAATATTAAATCATTTCACAAGTGTTTTAAAAAATATTAAATCAAGGAAAATGTATATACATACTTATATATAGAAAAATACCAAATGCTCCTGCACTCACGCTTAAACTGCCCTTAGTGCCCGGGTGCTAGAAAAGAATAGCCATCCATCCATATATCCAAATAGGTAGCTGCACTCACGGTGAATAAAAAGTCAAAATTTATTGTAAATAGGTTAAAAAAACAGCGATCAACGTTTCAGTTCTTTAGGGACTTTCCTCAGGATCAAATAATATACATATATATATATATATATATATATTTCATCTAACGTTACTCATATGTAAAAAAAAATGTTAACTACTTTCCAGTAAGTCCCATTTTGAAAAAAAATCTGTTCAAATAGTTCTTTCGCCAAATTTTGCAGGATATTTTTATTTGATTGTCCCATACTTCTCTGTTTTTCATTTACTTTTGTATACATATTATTTTATAAATATGTTTAATATGAAAACATACTTTAATAGCGATTTTTTCTTCTATACTTACATTGCGTAACAATATTCATAAAGGGGGAATACCCCATCCCTAATTCATTTTTTGCAGAACAGCAATACTTGGTCTCCTGGGTTACATTCCAGACTTTTAACTCTTCAACAATTTCTTCCAACTTTACCGTAGAATTTTCTACAACCTTGTACCATCTGAAGGTTGAGGGGGCAGGATTAGCCTCAGTTACACATTGTAAGGTCACATTATCTCCTTCTTTTACATAACTGTTCCCAGGTATATTGATATGTGTTTTCTTTGGAGAAACTGATCAAAAATAATTAATATTATCAAATAAATACAAATCAACAAAATTACAACATTTAAATTAACTGATTTTCTATCTCTAACTAATAGAAAATATATTAAACAAAATATCAAGCACAAATACCACTGTATTATCCAACTATCTAGTGATATATATATATATATATATATATATATACACACTCACAGGATTTCAGGATAGTATAACAAATAATTTATTTTCAAAAAGGAGCAATCACATATTTGATCAACATTTCGGCCTACCCGGTGAGATTATGCTAGAATGACTAATAATCTTGACAATCTTTCTATCCTCTTTTGTATGAATTATCATTTCATTGATGTTGAGGGTGAAATAAAAAGAGGTGAAATCCCCAGAGAGATAATTACCAGAAGTAAATTCTCCACTCATAATTTTAGGTACATTTGTCTTTTTGGAGACGAGATGATGCATTACTGGAGAATTACTGCTTGCAAAGGAATTAAACCATTAATGGCTAAATACAAGATTGATAGCCACATCACCTTCATGTAATTAGAATATAATTTTTATTTTAAATGAGATCTCCCATTGGCATCACAAATCAATAAAGTCAGAGTAGGGCGATCTCCTTTTCTTCTGTACTATAATTATTTAGATATATCAAACTATGGAAAATAGTCTGTCAAAATGGGAAACTACGTAAATGCTTTGTTTCTTAAAGGTATATACCCCTTTATTCTCATTAAACCTTCTGGTTCTGTGTACACAGGGTGGGTTTTCGTCAGTATATATAGGAATTAGGGTTAGACCCAACACCAGTTTTAATGATGTTCAGACAAGAGCAAACTAATGTTGGTTAGACTCACTCTGATATTTTGTTTTTGTTTATGATCACAATCTGGCCTCAATTAAAATATTTTTGAATAAACTTTTAAAATTATTTGTTAAAAATATTAAAATATCAACACTATATCATAAATCAGCATAAATGTTTATCCAAAAGTATTAAATAATTTGAAAGCTTAGCCAAAAATATTAAATTAAGGCCTATTTTTGAAAAACGTTTCAAGTTCTACAAACAAATCCCATTAGACTTTAAAGGGGCCTTCTGTAAGATAAAGCATTTGAAAAGTATTTGTCCAACAAATTTAAATCATTTCTGGTGCTGAATTAATCAAATTAAAATGAGGTTAGATTGATGTCAGATTGTGATCATTTAAAAAAGATCTATCTGGGTTTGTGTCCCCACAGCTCCAAGGCCACATCTCACACTTTTGTCTGACAACTATGAAGAGTTACAATAAAAAATGCAACAGTGATAATTCAATTTTTGATTATGTTCTGCCATAATGCATTGTGAGGCAATGAGAGGTAAATTCGATGCTCCAGAAGATAAGTGTATTTGCCATAATTACTCACAAAGTAGGTTGATACAATCATAAAGTATCTTGACATATATTTTTGCTTATTACATTTTGCATGATTTTTACCTATAAATCAGTGTAAGACTTGACACTCTCACCTAAGGGTAGTTTTTATTTTTTCGGTTTACATGTCTTCTTGCATGGTGGAATTCATGGGAATTCAGGAGAAGGGGGAAAAAAAATGTACCTAAATCTTCAACTTTTTTGCTGCCAATATCTTGTCTTCATCTCCGGGCCAATGGAGATGTTAATGACCATGTCATCTTTATACTCCAACACACACATTAGAGTTCAATACATGGCATCTACAGAAGATTCTACAAGACTGCAGGATCATTCATGAAATATCGTAAATATCTCAGCAGCATCATGTGAGAAAATAGCTCTTGCCATTAGCCATCTTTTATGATGATTATGTAAAATGGACAGATGTGAACAAACAATCTATTGCTACATTTTACTAAGAAATGACATGTAAGAAATTAGTCTCTTTAGTTTTGTTTGCATTTTATCTGAGATCGGAATCTAAACATTTTATCTTTGTGGCACTAAGACATGGCAGTGCAATTTTAAAGCTGTCAGATTGCCAAGGTGGTTGCAGTTTTTGAGTGCAAAGGTTAGCAAGTGAACCAAGATATGGTTACAGCTTATTCTGTGCCACAGAAAAAAAATTCCTTTTACAGTGTACATATATACAGACCAAACAGGAAACAAAAATACTTTTAGAGACTGAGTAAATAGTGAGATTTTCAATGAGTGAATTAACACAATGACACTTTAATGTTTATGGTCAAATCACATAATATCTATGAAATATTAATAAAAAAGCAAAACCTATTAATTACTTACATGTAATATTTAGGATCGCTTTTTCGCTGTATTGTTTCCCATTAGGAAATGTAGCAGTGCATTCCAGGTATGTGTTATGATCCTTATAGGAAGGAGTATATCTGATTTCTGAATGAACTCTCCAATAGCCTATTGTCATGTTTTCATGTTGCACACTAGTAGGATGTCCATCCTTGTTCCATTCTATAGAAGGTGGGCTGGAAGGACAGGTATGCTGTGCAGTGCAGAATATACTGACGGTCTTCCCTTCTTGCATATTCTGCATTTTAATGAACATAAATACTGAATCTGCAAGGAATGTTTAAACATTAATAATCATGATAAACAAGCTATGATTTTGCCTAATACTTCTTACATCAAGTATTACGTATGGCGTTTATGTCTATATTGCTTATTGTTTGTGGCTTATGTGTGTGTGTTTTATGTATGTGTTTGGAAGCATTAACCCTTCATGCTAACATGGTGGAGACTTGGGATTCCTTAAATGTTTTTGGTTTTTTTTTTACCTGGATTGAGTTTATATATATTTATTTTGTTTAATAGAGTAGATGTTTCCTTCAACATATGTTTTTGGACTTACCCTGATCCTTTCTGCTGGAGCCTGGATACAGTCTTCCTTAGTGGGTAGCATCTATGTGCATCTAAGTGCTGTGGATCGAGCAAAATAATATTTTTGCTCTTTCTTTGTGAGTACCCCTCCAACTTTGTTTTAATATTTTTATAGTTTTTAGAAGTGTACACTATATTTTTAATTCTGTTTATATCTGCATAATCCATCACTGCATTTGCTTACATGTTTATAAGGTCTACCGCTGTGGCAAATACCACCCTGAGCTAACCTGTCTACCTGAGGTCACCACGCACCTATGCACCTTATTGAAGAAAAGACCAGTCATCCTTTGGCCAGGATCTTACTGCCCATGCGTTACATAATAGCCCCTTCCTCTACCGTGCACATTATATTGGTAGAGAGACTCTGGTTTGTGTGTTTGTGTTACCTTCAACTGTATGCACTAGAAACCTATGTTGTAAATATTTGAAATATATTATACTAACCTGTTTCTCGTAATGTCCAAGAACAAGGTTATTTTGAAAAATGTATAGCTTTGATGGCATCAAACAAGGACATAGGTTTTCTTAGGTTAATATCAGGTTGAAACATGCACTTAAGCATTGTTGACTTTAATATGAATGTTAGATATTTACACAATTTAATTTAAAAAATTTAATGACATCTGACCATATAACTTTATGCTTATAAATAGTTCTATGGAGACATGATTGGTCTATAGTAAAGGGCTTATAGTAGAGGGCTGCCAAGTTTAGAGCCAATTTAAGCACCCTGAAGAAAGAGAGTGAAAATAGAGTGTTTTCATATTTTTGTTTTAATGACGCTTTTCCGCAGCGCTTTTTGTTTGCATCTCATATGATGCTCTCTTAACAACAATACTAATACTAACATGCCGTAGCAACAGCGGATGCACAATGTACATGCTCATTGTAGTTAACTCATTTGTAGCAGAATTAGTGGGAAAGCTATTATACCTTGCAAATATCAATTATGAAGGATTAAGGAGTGGGAGACACACTAAAGTCAGTGTAGGTTACAAAATATACCTAGATGTATGCTTTGTTCTTGCGCATGAGGTAGGTGTTAGAAAGACAGCACAATTTTAAACATTTAATAACAGGCAGTATTGATACACTAATTTCTAAATTCAAGCAGTTGGAGAAACAACAAAGGCCAAGATTTAGAGGTTTTTTTGTTTGTTTTTTAAGTTAATGTTTTAATATCTTTTATATATTATATAGTTTTAGTGTAGAGATTGTAGCCATGCTTTAGACTTGGAAAGTAAGGTTCTCTCCGAAAGCTTGTTATTGCAAAATTCTGCTGGTATAGTTTTGATATTTTAATATTTTGAAAACAAATGATCTTTTAGTTTAGCCAAAAGTATTAAATCATTTGAAAAACTTACCCAAAAATATTAAATTGAGGCCGTAGTTTGCAAGGGTTCGTTATTAGATCCCTACTATTATCTGTTAGAACTTTATTATAGTAAATGATGGACTTGATTTAATATTTTTTAGTAAGGTTTTTAAATGATTTCATATTTTTGATTAAACTTTTCAAACAATTTATTATTTGTAAAAAATATTTTAATAATTATTTTTTTAATATATATTTCTATATATGATTACATATTTGATAAATTTATATTTTGAAAAAATAAATTTAAACTTTTAGCCAAAAATATTGAATAATTTGAATAGTGTATCCATTTGAAAAACACAATGGACAGAAAATAAGGAAAGTTCTCTAAATAATGTACACAACATATCTGCCCTGGCGATTTTTAAATAATCACTTAATCTAAAAGTGGGCAGTAGGCAGGAAAACAATGCTGAAAATGTTTTTTGTGGTTAAGGGAAAATGAAAAATTGACCAGAGAAAAACAAAAGTTCACCTTAGCCAAGTAATTATCTTTGCTACAGTTAAAATGTGTTCTACTTATTTACCTGAGACTTGGATCTTAGTGCTTTGGCGATTATTGAGATCAAATGAATTGATATCTTCACTAATTCCTGGATACAAGACTTCATTATGCATCACATTAGTGATCTTCAAGGAGCAGCTGTTTGCAGCCTCTTCCACCAGGGAGGTTCGACCGTTGTACTCGAATTCCACGGCAGAATATGTCTTGTTATTAAATATTTGTGGGTAGCTGGTGAAATGGTACTTGAACCAAATCAAATTAAACTCTTCATGTCTCCTTGGAGGAGTGTACGAACAGGGGATCTCCACGCATGATCCTCTCAATGCAACGATTATTTGGTGGAGTTTAAACAACCAACGTTCACAGGATTTATTACAACCTGAAAATATGTAATGTATACAAGTTGTAAGTTACTTAATACATTAAATACACATGCTGTGATAATTGCTTTAATTACATAGCTGCCTCATTCAAACAACTACTGCAATTTCCTCCTGGTCTTGCCTAGCAGCACCGTATTAAAAAATTACTTTTGTACACAAATCTCTGTGTAACTTTGCACTTCCCTACTACATCTTGTACATTGAATTCATCTCATTATAGTCTTACCCATACTCAGTACTTTGGTCTCCATAACTTTTAACACTTATATTTCAACAGGCCTCAATTATCTCAATATGTAGTTGATCTACTGAAGATACAACTAAATAGTAAATGTTATGCATGAATTAACAAGTTTTTTATGTTTTCTTTAAACTTTGCTTGTATTTTTTTGTACCTCAACAACTGAAAGGTTACACACCTTCACACCTTTGTATTGAATACAGAATTTGTCACTGAGACATCAATCTAATATTGTTAGGTAAGTCTTCCAAATGATTTAATAATTTTGGATAAACTTTTAAAAACATTTTTTCAAGCTATTGAAGCTATCAAAATATCATAAGTTGTACATAGTTTTCATAAGGTTAAAATATTTAAAATGTTTATCCAAAAATATATCTTCTGGAAAGCTTATCCAACAATATCAAATTGAGCCTAAACCTTTGATTGTTAAATATTGTTGGATACACTTTTCAAATGATTTCATATTTTTGGATAGCTTTTTAAAAAAAAAAAAAATTATCAAAATTTTCAAGTATTAAAAAAAAAGAGATATAAAAAAGTCAAAAAATTCCAAAATTAAAATATTTTTCATTATATGAATAATAATAACAAAATATTTAACCAGGAAAGGTGCATTCAGATGACTCTGGTTTCCAAATACGTTCTGGGGATGTTACTTTTGCCCAACATCCATATTAAATATTAAATCATTTGCAGTGCATTAATTGGCACATTTTTGCACTAATTGGTTCAGAGGTCAATTGAGAATAAGTAACCAATTCAGTGAAAAAGAGGAGGAACATTAAAACATCAGTATTAATATATGATATGTTAACTAAATATATAAACAAATATTTTTTTTACAGCTCTCCTTTTTTCCCTTTATTGGTCACTCCAAAATCAACATATAGTGGCTACCTATCTAAATCCCAAAGCAAACAATGATCATCGTATTTACCGCAATCTCTATAATACGCCATGCTTTAAGGCTCATAGCGTCTAGCTAAGGGGATTGTTTCAAATGTAACATTTAGTTAAATACTACAATTAAACCGTGCAGGAGTTAGGAAAGACTTTCCGTGATTGCAACACCTTTAGGTTTCTATTCTCAGGCTTTAATTCCTCCATATCACTCTTAAATTGTATCTGCAAGTGTATGGAATGTATGGCACGTGTAATAGGTCTTTAATACTATAGGACTATAAAATATATCACCTGTGACAATGACATTTACAGTCTGGCCTTTGTTGAGATTATATGAGTTTATTTTGTTACTTATTCCTGGATAATAATTTTCCCCATGGATGACATCATCAATCCTCAATGAGCAGCTATTTATTTCATTTCCCACGAGGGACGTTCGGCCTCTAAATTCAGGTAGCACTGCAGATGGATCTTTCTTATTGAAAACTTGCGTGTAGATATAATGGCTGCGAATATACCAAATGATATTGATATCACTGTAGCCTACGGGAGAGGTGAATGTACAAGGAATAGTTACACTGGAATGCTTCGGTGCCCTAATAGATTCTGGGAATGTAAACGACCAATCTTCACAGACAGAATTTGAAAACCACCCTAAGGAAGACATAATAGTATTATTGTAAATATTAACAGTTGTTCAATATAACATTCATATATTTATTAGAAATGTTTAAGTACAGTAAATGAATACAAAGTAGAGAATCACTGTTTGTGTCAGAAATATCTACCTCTTCCCCCCCTTTTAGTTTTCACAAAAATTTTCAGGTTCATAAACCATTACTGCTATAAATGGGGAATATTTATGTTTGTTTATAAGTTTAACAGTTCTAATTTGCTACAAATATCATTAGTGCTACTTTCTTATACAAATGTGAATTGTATAGCTTGGAAAGTGGTGTAGAAAACTTAAAAAAATGATTTATCGCTTGGGTTTATCACCAGCCTACAAAATAAAATATTGGCATGAAAAATAGGTAATTGTGCAAATAAGGCGTTATTCCAAGCACAAATCATTGTTTTGAAGTGATAATGGTGATTGGAGTCTATATGCGCATCGTTTCAGTAAGAAACATTGCACATACAGGCTCATACAGAGATAAATCACCCTAACTCCACCCTTGGCAGCATCACAATCCAACCTGGAATGAGAGTTTATGGCTAGCTAATGTTAATTCTGTGCATCATGCTCCCCCCTCTATGTCATCCAAGCACTTCCTTAAACATAAAATGTCTTTCTTTCTTTCTATTGGAACATTTACATCTTCTTAAATCATTCAACAAGATGACTATTATTTTTGGAATATGGCCCAAAATGTATTGATAACACATTAACAATGGTTTATTTTACCTTGAGAAACAAATAGAACAAAAAATATCTTCATGGAAACATGGTGACGGCCCATCTTCTGGAGTTGCGTGAATGTCACCATCATCCTGCAGCATTTAAAGCTGTGGACAGTATGCATGTATGTAAAAATATTATATGGATTCTGTTTGACCTGTTAGTAATAGAAGCACCCACAATTACTATACTCATGTAAAACCAAGAAAAAACAAATTGGTAAAGAAGGGACTAGACATGTGCAATTCATTTCGTTCTGAATGCAGATTCTCTGAATGTCTGAAGTGCCGAAGTGCCTACGTCCTGAACTGCCGAATTTCCGAAGTGCTGAAGTGCTGAATTTCAGAATGCTGAACCGAATGGAATTGCTGAAGTGCCGAATTTTGGAAGTGCGAAAATGGCAAAACAGGAGAGGGTTGGGGTTAGGGGTTGGCATCTGGTTGGGGGTTGGGGTAGGGTTAGGGTTAGTGGTTGGGGTAGAGGTAGGGTTAGGGGTAGGGTTAGGGGTTGGGGTTGGGTTAGTGGTTGGTGTAGGGTTTGGGGTAGTGTTAGAGGTTGGGGTAGGGTTAGTGGTTGTGGTAGAGGTAATATTAGGGGTAGGGTTAGGGGTTAGGGTAGGGTTAGGGGTTGGGGTAGGTTTAGGGTTAGTGGTTGTAGTAGGGTTAGGGTAGGGGTAGGGGTAGGGTAGGGGTAGGGTAACCCTAACCCTACTCCTAACCATACCCCTAACACTACACTTACCGTACTCCTAACCCTAACCTACCCCTAACCCTACCCTAACCCTACTCCTAACCCTAAACCAACCCTAACAATACCCTAACCATATCCCTAACCTAACCCTACCCCTAACCCTAACCCTACACTTACCCAAAGTCCCGAAGTTCCGAAGTGCCTAAGTCCCGAATTTGGGAAAGCCTAACTGAATATTTTTCACAATGCTCATCCCAAGAAGGGACATAGTTTCATTGTATAGGTCTTTGTGGTGGGACTGCTCCCTACCCGTGAATTGCCTTAATGAGCACTCCTCCAGTTGGCGGCCATTCGTACAGATGGACGTCAGCCAGGGGGAGCGTTCGTGGATTGTTTCCCAACTTGTTCATATCCCCAGTGCCCCATTAGAAGTTTGCACCAATCAATTAGAATGTTAGCACTCGCAACATAAGTGTGAAACGGCAAGGGAAGTAATTAATGAATGCTACCCTGGGTGGCAGACGTTTCGTATAGACGAATAGCACTAGGGTTAGTTCGCGACAGGGGCCATTGTGAGGATCCCTGAGGTCGATGTGGACACTACTGGGGGCACTGGCGAGTTTGGTGGCAATAACAAAACACATAATAGTACCGAGTGTAAAGACAATAAACAAACAATATTAACAGAGCACTCAAAACAATTCTTTCTGAACTATTTTAAAAATTTTTAGGGTTCATTATGGATATGACACCTTTTTTTTTCCCTTTTCTTTTCCTTTTTATTTGTATTTTTTTTTCTTCCTCAGTTACATTATCTCTTTACATACATTACAAATATTTCCCATAGGTCTATTACTGTATTGACAAACTTACTATAATGTTTCATGGTTCATGTTTAGGAATTTTTCAGAATTTTTCTAATATATATCAGTTATATACCTTTATTTTAATAAATGACCACTACTCGATGCAGTTTATTATACTGATCATTGTTATTTTAATTGTATAATTCAATATAATTATATTAAACCATATCTCTCAGAAAAGTTGTCTTATATATCACACTGTTAATACATTATTGACTCTTAAAACATTGACAAAAATGTACAATTGTTATTTTTATTATTATTACTTAAAAAAAAATAGAGAACATATGAAAGAAACACCATAATTATTAGATCCCATTATAGTCAATGGTGCTTTATGTCAACGGTTTAGTGACAAAGTCAGGGCTGATCCCATTTGTGGGTTTTCATAATGCAGGACCGAGCCCGTGCATAAAGCTGTAAATATATTCATTTTATAATGTGACATCAGAAAGTATACAATAATCTTATAAATGTATCTCACTCACCATGGTAACGCATGTATCATTTTGAAATGATTCAATCTGAATTTAAAGGGACACTCCAAGCACCTGGCCAATGTGCAATGCATATTAAAGTGTTCTTATACCCACAGTTCTTTTTCATATCTCTTATTGCTCTGTTTTTGCTACATTTCCCATAATTGCTTTTTATAATACTTCCTACAATACTTGTATTATCCCTCCTCTACTTGTTTTAAAGGGGAGTGCACACCCCATTAGCTTTTTAAATTTCTGCCCAAACCCCACCCCTTAGTCTCCCTCCTTCCCATTTTCATTTTATTCCATTTCCTCTATCTGCATGATTTTAACATTCTTTAACAGTATATTTATACCCCTCTCTAGCCCTTTATTATATTATGTATTTTAATAAAGTCTTAAGATAATTTTGTTTCTGTCACATGAGGTCATCTGACCATTTTTGGTGGATTGTGAAGCTATTTAAATAGGACCCTTATTCTGTAACACTTTGAGAAAGCCTACATTTTGGCAAAATGCAAAGTGTTTTACAAGAGTTTTTTGCTGTACATTGGTTTTATTATTTGTTTACAATTAAATTAGCTTTTTGTTCCTTTTGGACCTCCCTGATTTTATCCTTGAAAATTTTATCTGGAGGATTCGCAATTTTAATTCCTTTGTGGGGAATACAACCACCTACGCTGTCAGAATTGAAAAAAAAACTTGTATGCTCTTATTTTGTGAGCATACCATGTTTTATTATTTTTATTCCATCAACACAGAGAGTACTATATTCTGTTTTTATTTTTATTTTATATACCAGAGAATTTCTACTGCTACAATATTGTGCAATGAAGGAGAACACTCCTAAATGCTTATCAGCAGAAACCACTTGTTAAGACACCTCCAGTGTCTTTAGGCAAAACCGCCGTTTAGTAGACCTTCCCTCTGTAGTATACGAACCAAATGCAGGGGAAGCGGCAATCTCCCGACCGAGATTCGTGAACGGCTCCAAACTCCCGAACGACAATACACGAACTGCTGCTAGCCGCCGAACAACAATATTCACCAAGCGGCTTCCGTTCCATCCAGCAGTCTCTAAACGTGAAGAAGAAATCCCCCCAATAACGACACAGAAGCTCCGCATTGAGGGTCAAACAGGATCTGGGTTTACTGTGGGCTACCTGGCCGTATTTATGCAGGTCTCCCACTTGGTGGACACACCCCTAGGGGACCAAATGGGAGACTTAAATGACAGACAGATATGGGGACATTCCAGACACACAGTCACAGATTTTACCCACAGTGCATTATGATTCCCTCCCCTCTGCCCTGGAGTTAATTACCAAGTAACTCAATTAACTCCAGGACAAAGCCAGTCGCCATTTTAAATATAAAATCACAAAAGACATAAAAATATATAACTTCACAAAAACCGAACATTTCCCATTCGTATCACATATCCCCAGATAGCCTGGATCTGAGTGCATATTATTGGCGAATAGCGCTCAGATCCCACACACATAGTTCAATCGCCATGGAGTCAAAGTTCTTACAGTCTTTCGGTATACGAATGACTCCATGGGAAGGCTATCTGTGTTAAGTCTTTTCGTATGCTCCAAAACTCCCGAACGGCCGGTGTTCGTATGGTTTCGTAGAGGCAGCCAGGCGTTCCGTTGTTTCAGCGGTGTTCGGCAGAAAAAGTGTCCGTTTTTAGTTCCATAGAAATAGAGCCAAACACCGCTGGGCTTTCGCTTGGTTTAAAATGGCCGCTGCCTCGTGGTCGACATACGAACGACGACCACCCTGAATTCGGTTTAATTGAGAAGTGTCTGCGGTTAACCACAACGTTCTAATTGGGATCAATAGGTTAACCAGCAGCACACTTCTCTCCTGGGTGGCCGTCCGTTCGGCAGGTTTGTTCGGGAAAAAGAGTCATTCGAATGGCTGGGCTATAGAAACCAGCCATTCATACGAACGGGAGACAGACAGACGAATGCAATTAAAATCCAAGCAGACAGATGGTTCTGTCACACCACTTATTGATATTGGAACATCTCCCAGTAAAGGACCAAGACCAGAAGCTTATCCATCGGTGGGGATTGTACCACCCAGGTGCATATATCTGGAGATGATTATAAACTCCAGAAACTTGTGCTATTTCTCTAATTTAATTCACCAGTAATCAAAATACTGCACTATATTCCATTCCCTTATCCTCGTATCTCTCATATTGCTCTACTTCTACTTGGACTTGAGGACACTTGGAAGGTGCTGCTTTACTGCACCCTCTTTCTTTTACAGTAGCTATCTAAGGACAGAAAGAAGAGCCTCAGGTTTGGAAAGTTTAAGCTGCCATACTCATGTCAGACAAGCGCTATAAAGCTCACTTTTTTAATTACTTGTATGGAAAAGTACTGGTGTTCTTATTTATTTTTACCTGTGTCCTTGCTATCAAACGAGGAGCAGCAGGGTCCTAGGGAAAGATGAATAAATGCATGTATTTTTTTTTTTTTTACTTTTACGTACATATGTTTTAACGATTATCTACATAAAGCAGTGGAAATCACATTAAATGTAAGGTTCTAACGTTCTTTTAATTTAGAATTTAAAAAAAGTTTCCATGCAATTCATAAAATTTATACAAGTCACACAATTCACTTCTCATTGTTTGCCCTTTTTATATAGAAGTTCCTGCATGCATTTGTATTTAGAAGTTACCCGTCTCAAGAAGCTCAAGAAATTAATCTACTAGTCAAGGAGAGTCAGTACTCCAGTATGTGATGTTTTTAGCAATGTAATTCTATATATAATAGTCTTTAGAGGTATAAAGAAAATATAACCATGACAATGAAATGACTGCAGGAAGTAGTAATGTATAGATTTTGTAAGTAATTGAACAGTTATACTTACAGGTCGTCTTGTCTTTCATTCTTCGTTTAAACTGAAATGAACAGGAAACAGCTTACGTGACACTGTTTTCCTACAGATTAGAGAAGTAATGCAAATGAAACAGACATGAAACAATGTTTTTTCTATAAAAATTAAAGAAATAAAACTTCCAGTATTTTGCAGACATCTGTCGTATGTTTATGGTGTATCCACCAATCTGCAAATTAACATTTCAAATGTCATGAAAATGACAGAAATTCAGCATTGTACTATGCTACCAAATTAGTTGAAACCTAAATTTTTCAAATCAAATTCTGAAAAGGAGCCTATCTGAATAAATCTTAATTGATCTGGAATGATCCCAAAAGTGTCCCCACTGACTGACTCAGAAATTTAGTAAAGTCCCAAGCAATATCTGAATTGATCCACATTTTTACTTCTGCCTGTGTAAGAAAAGGTATAATGAAAATAAGGTAATTATTTAACATGACCACTCTGTTCAAATGGGCATCTGGGAGATGCTCAATACATTTTATTGCCATTTTATGCAGGATGGAGGACTGCAGCATGTCGCTACTAAAAAAAGTAGGTGAGTTTGCATCTGCATGTACACTATATGGATCTCAGAACTCGATAGTAACCTGGCATGCTCCAACTAGAGGACTTCCACTGTATGAGCTCAGTGAGTTTAATTTAGTAACCTACCTCAGACTACTGCAAAATATAATATTATGTATATAATTTGCTGTAAACTGATAGGAGTATTTTCACATTTATTTGGGGGTTTTGAATATTGTTCTAGAACTAACTAGCAGCACCTCTCGGTTAACCTGAAACTTGTCATCTCGATATGTTCTGCAGCAGCATCACTACCACTTATAGTACGTGATGTGGTAGGCAGGTCTCTACACATGGCTTTTACTTGAAGGTCTCTTATTAGTTTGTGATTAGCTTGCTACTTATAATAAATATAAGTAGAAAGTAGGTCTAGGCACTCAAGGTTTCATCAAAAATGCAGATTTATTGAAAACTGAATGTGCAATGTTTCGACCTACACAGAGGCCTATCTACTAAATTGGGTTTTGCCAACCCGGTCTTTGATGCACCTGGTTTTCACTGTGAGAGTGCGGTATCCTTTATTTATGAATCAGCACTGCTGCTTATAATAAATCTATCTCTCCTTTATAGCCTTATTGACCACTTGTAGGAGTCAATGGAATCTACAGCCTACTCTCTCTGATTCCAAGGCTATCTTCCGTTTAACTATAGATGTTTGTTCCCCTACAAGATGGCATAAAAATGACAGTGCACACCTCTGAATTAAACTTCATAGATATGCTCCTTGCTCACATACACTATGTTTGTTGCAAAAACAAGAGACAAACAAGAGAGAGTCCCTACTTCTTCTTCCATCCTGTATAGGGAAGAGAGTAATATAATAATAGAGTTTGGGGAGTCCCCTAGAACTATAATACATGGATCTAGCAATAGATGGAATAGTAGCCGGCTAGACAGACAAAGAGACAAGAAGACAGACAGACAGATAAAATTGTGAATTGTCACCGTTAAGTCATCATTAACTGAACTTTCATCTCCTTGGTCTTTTTAAGACCAGTTTATATAGATTCATTTTGATGGTCAACATAGAAGTATTGATAAAAACAAAGGTTAGTTTTTAGTTAAAATGAGCATTTCATGAAATTTGTCATTACAAAAATGTTTTCCAGATGACTTAGTAATTAAAAATATAATACTATAATACCAAACATTATACTGGCAAGGTCGGTTCTTTTATTAATGTTATAGTTATTATGCCAACAGTAATGGACCCTGGCTAAAACCCAGACCTGGGTTAAAGATGAAGATTTTACATTTAGCATTATTTGACTCAGGTCTTGAAGAAGCAGGAAGATACGATGGAGGATATTTATCAGTATTCAGAAATGTGATTAAATTTCATCATTTTGATCCTATATATTAAAGTGATCTAAAAAAATATGCTTTCGTTCTTAGTAAACTCTGCCAGTTTTCATTTAAATACAAAGAAACTAGTCCTGCGCTCAAACTCCCATTACTCCTGGGGAGCAGCAACGACTATAATACATATCAGCCAAAATACATATAGTAAAAACCAAAGAAAAAAGTTACCTGCACTCTTTCCACATCCCTATTAGTGATGTCACGAACTGTCCGCCGAACCGTTCGTGAACTGTTCGCCAGTGAACAATAGCGTGTTCGCGGTGGGCGAACATACGCGATTTCCGGTCCGCCCCCTATTCGTCATCATTGAGTGAACTTTGGCCCGGAACCTCACAGTCAGCAGACACATTCCAGCCAATCAGCAGCAGACCCTCCCTCCCAGAATGTGTCTGCTGACTGTGAGGTTCCGGGCCAAAGTTCACTCAATGGTGACGAATAGGGGGCGGACCAGAAATCGCGTGTTCGCCCACCGCGAACACGCTATTGTTCGCCGGCGAACAGTTCGCGAACGGTTCGGCGGACAGTTCGGGACATCACTAATCCCTATGTATTTTTAAACAAATGGAGGTTTTTAAATTAGTCATAAAAGATGACTGCAACACTTTCTGATACAAATCCCTCAATGTACTTTGAAGAGTTTGGAGTGACATGGCCACTTTGGGCTTTCCCGCCAGCCGTTTTTAAAGGGAAGGCACTAGAGAAACAGACACATTGAAAAGAAATCCACTGATCAAAAAATAGTAAGAGATTTTTCTTTTTTGCCAATCATTCTGTGAGGACCCATATTGACACAAATAAAACATATGTGCTGAATTTACTTTGGTATTAACGTAACGCAAATAATAAAATAGCATGAAATTATGATAATTGTATTTTGAATTATGTATTTATTAGTTGAAGCTTAATTTTTTTCTACCTCTGTTTGATTATTTTTAGAGCAGGATAACCTCTTGAACTTCCTCCATCTATCAAACAGAGAAGAAGTCATTGTGATGTTTTCTGGTGGTTATGGTGGTATATTTTGCGATAATGGAAAGACATAACTTTATAAATGAAGGGTTTTTACTTTAGATACATTTGCCTAAACTCATATGAGCCCATACACAATAAGTAGATAACTTGTTATGATACAAACTTTCATTTAGTAAGCAATATAATAAGCTTAAAAATGAATTGAATTGATTAGATTATGACTTCTATAACAATGAGGGAAGAAGTGCATAGTGAGAAAGTCAAGCTGAGTTCATCCTTAGTATCCACATATGTTTCACAACAAAGTTTAAGGCCACAAAGTTGAGCAGAAAGGTAAAGTAAGAGAGTGGTTTGAATATATTCAGCAGATGTTGACTTATATATTGAGTTATCTGAAGTGTATGCATTGCAGTAAGTACAGTAAGAATGTCTCTTTAACAATATGTTAGTTTGTTAATGAAGGAGGTCTATTCAAGAATGAGAGATAATAGTTAGATGTTGCCTTTTACTATGAGCAGAATCAAGAGGTTCATCAAGTATGCGGGCAAGAGATCAGCAGGATCTTAAAATATTGGTACCACGAGCAGAGTCAAGAACTAGGATGTGTATCCCAGATAGGAAGCAAAACAATTGGGTCAGGATATCAAAGCCAAGAACAGGAGACTGTTATTCTTCTTGAACCCTTGAAATAAACGTTGTGATAATTCTTCCACTGAAGTGGTACAGGTGGTTAATTGATGAAAAAAAAAACTAAAATGTGGTTAATTAAAAAAATAAAGAATTGCAAAATGTAAGACAAAAAGCCAACTTGGAGAAATAAGTGAGATTGAGAAATGTGTTTTCAGTCTAAAATAAACATTGTACTTGTTAAGTCAGCACAATCATTGTTTGATAGAGGAAATAAACTTTTTTTGTTTTTTCAAATGTTCCCATATGAGTTCCTCCCAACACAATTAATCCAGATTCACTAGAAATTGAGGAATATCTCAAACAGCTAATAATAATATGGGATTATAATCTATAAACAGATTAAGGAGTCTATTGATAGATGGGGAAAGGGAAGAATCAGGTTATAGAATTGTGTGTTATCTTTTCTATAAGTGGATGTTTTTAAATGCCTAATTTTTGTGTGAACCACATGAAAAGTGTCACACTAGAACAGAAGTACAATAGTACAATCAATATTAACAAATTAAAATATAATACGATAACACAGTAGATTATACGTGACTACAGAAAAATGACACCAAAGGTGTCTAGGGATACCAGGAGCTTGCCTAAAATGTGGCTTACAAAGCTAAAACATCTATAAAGGGGTAATACTAATAGAGGTATTGTACCTTTAAGAGGGATGCAATACCTTCAAGAGGAAGTAATCTATCAGAACAACCAAAAATATAAGTGGACCCAAAATAGTAAAAAGTGAATGGATTAAAAAAATCATAAAATAGAAAATAAAAATAAAAGTAAAAATAAAAATAAAAAATTATAAAAAGTGCAAAAAGGAATAAAATAAGAAAAACAATAAAGCTGAATAATGAAATAAAAAATAAATAAATAAAATAAAAAAATAAAATAAAAAATAATAAATAATAAATAATAAATAAAAAAATAAAAAAAATAAAAAAAATAAAAAAATAAAATAAAAATGCAACAAAGAAAAAGAACCACTGTGGTAAATCTGGAACAGGAATGTGCAGTACAAGTGACTCGATTACTGCTATATAGCAGAATGTCTGGCACCTGTACCAGATACTATTTGATACACTTAGTCTCTAGTTGGATGCAAATAGAAACATGTATCATATTATAGCAATACAGTATAAGGAACTGCAGGCTAAAATATTCTTATACACTGAAATCAGTGTTAGATAACAAGCACTGGTTCTCAAACTGGTTAAAAGCGCTACGGAATCTGTTGGCGCTATATAAATGGCAATAATAATAATAATAATAATAATAATAAAGTATAAGCCAGTTTATTAGGACAAATAATATAAAATGCAAATAAGATTAAAAATTAAAAAATACACATCAGGAAAAGTTCATCTCATTATTACTAGGTGGTATGTTGTGGTATTACAGAAACCTTCGGTACAGATGAGGATGGATGTGGATTAAAATCTTAGCCGTTTGTGGTAATACCGCTGGAGAGGACAGCGTGTGAATTCACCAAGCGTCCCTGCCGGAGCCTCTCTCCGGAGGGATGTGTGCTGTGAACGGCTTCGTAGCGATACACAAACCAATAGGTCCTGGAAGGATGCTGACTGTGGATGACGTGTGTCTGGTAGAACTGAGTCTTGATGTGTGTCCTTACAGTCTTACGCGTTTCGTAGGTGTGTGAATTCACACGCTGTCCTCTCCAGTGGTATTACCACAAACGGCTAAGATTTTAATCCACATCCATCCTCATCTGTACCGAAGGTTTCTGTTTAGGTCTGACAACATACCACCTGGTAATAATGAGATTAACTTTTCCTGATGTGTATTTTGCAATTTTTAATCTTATTTGCATTTTATATTATTTGTCCTAATAAACTGGCTTATACTTTTAACCAGTTTGAGAACCAGTGCTTGTTATCTAACACTGATTTCAGTGTATAAGAATATTTTAGCCTGCAGTTCCTTATACTGTATTGCTATAATATGATACATGTTTCTGTTTGCATCCAACTAGATACTAAGTGTATCATATAGTATCTGGTACAGGTGCCAGACATTCTGCTATATAGCAGTAATCGAGTCACTTGTACTGCACATTCCTGTTCCAGATTTACCACAGTGGTTCTTTTTCTTTGTTGCATTTTTTTTATTTTTTATTATTTATTATTTATTATTTTTTATTTTATTTTTTTTATTTATTTTGTATTTTATTATTCAGCTTTATTGTTTTTATTATTTTATTCCTTTTTGCACTTTTTTTTATCATTTTTTATTTTTAACTCCTGTATGTTTCATTATTTAGTGAGTATCTTTCCTTTTATACTTATTTTTATTTTTACTTTTATTTTTATTTTCTATTTTATGATTTTTTAATCCATTCACTTTTTACTATTTTGGGTCCACTTATATTTTTTGTTGTTCTGATATATTACTTCCTCTTAAAGGTATTGCATCCCTCTTAAAGGTACAATACCTCTAATAGTATTACCCCTTTATAGATGTTTTAGCTTTTTTAGCCACATTTTAGGCAAGCTCCTGGTATCCCTAGACACCTTTGGTGTCCTTTTTCTGGTTATTCCTTTGTAGGTTTTAGTGGATCCCTATTTGTGCCAGTTTTTGAGCAACCTAATACTAGTCCAACTCCCTCATTTTTGGGCAACACACTAGGTGTACCAGTACAAATCATACATGACTACAGCATCACAAAATTAAGGCACAGAATCTCTAACAAAAACAGTAAAAGGACAACCTAAAATGTATTCAAAATAAATAGAATAAGTTGCAGAAAAAAAATAGCTAACATAGAAATAATAGCAAAGTAGAAACAACCATTACATATCAATAGGAGCAAAAGCTAAGCAATGTGGTGATTTATAAAAAGTAAGCCATTGACCCATGGAGCCTTCTGGGCAAAAGAACGTTAAGGAAATGTCCAGAACAAACTTATTCAGAATGGGCTACCTTTTGGCACAAAAGGGGCAATAGTGCCCACATCCCACAAATGTATACCAGGGAATCAGGATAACAGGAGGGGGACCCAGGTGCAAATGCGGGTCAAGGTGTCTGGCAGATGGCAAAGAACACATTTGTTCACTACTTAAAGAGCTCTTAAAGTCCCCAGTAATAAAAGGCTGACATCTTGTAGGCATTGTTTGACTGACTGGAATGATTATCTCTAGGGAAGCACAGAATGACACACAAAACAAAAACAAAATTAGGTAAGTGCACCGTGTATATGTGATGGGAGATATTAAACACATATAGCAGACCTTAAGTACAATATTAACATTCAAAATGCATACACGTCCAAACAGGATTATTTTTGGTCAATTACATGAATCTAAAAAAGAAATGAACACAAACAAATAAAAGTGCAATATAGCCAGTTAGTAGAGTTGGGTTAAAGTACAAAGGTGAACTAACTCACACTTTTGAGAGGATATCAGTTGATCAGCAGTGATGAGTGGTCTGAGTGTAGAATGAAAATACATGAAACAGGAAATCCACTTAAAGGAAATGATGACCCTCTTACAAAGTTATTCTTCAGAGAATATGTGACAAATAAGACATAAACCTCCACAAAAGCATCTGCACATATATTAAATAGAAAATATTTTTAAAGGCAACCCATTTCTTACACAGTGGTAAAATACAAAAATCAGAATGTACTATGACATAAAGGTATCCAACTTACACTTTTCTGAGCAAAAGACCTGCTCTGGTGGTATTAGGTACTGGTGGTTCAATCCCCAACTGATAAAAAAAAAAACCCTGTAAAATGGTGAGCAAAAACAATAATTAAATAAAATATCAATAGGATTATCGAAACAAAATTACAGTGATATTTCCTCCTATGTATGCAACAGTGTATATTTTTTTTTTTTTTTTTATGGCCATAGCTATAGATTCAGGGGGAAAAATCACACAAAACAAATGGCTTGAAAATGTACTACAAAGTATATATCTATAATATTTAAATTATGTATATATATTGTAGTACACTGATTAGTCAATTTTAACATTATTAATGATAATTAATTATAATACTAAGGAAGTATTTGCTTACACAGTATACTTGCACTGATTATTTACAACACTCTTTGTTGTTATTTCAAAATACTTGTGGAGTAGTTCACTCTAACACAGATTGTTGTCACATATATTTTGATAAAATGCATTTTATATAGCATGATACATATTGTTGATACACTGTTGCATACATAGCAGGAAATATCTCTGAATTATTGTTTCGATATCCCTATTGATATTTTATTAAATTGTCGTTTTTGCTCACCATTTTTCTGGGGTTTTTTTGTTTGGCATTCTTGTATGTTAAAGGACCACTCTAGGCACCCAGACCACTTCAGCTTAATGAAGTGGTCCTGGTGCCTGGTCCAGCTAGGGTTAACCCTATTTTTTACCCTCAGGGCACTATAGTGCCAGGAAAACGAGTATGTTTTCCTGGCACTATAGTAGTCCTTTAAAGATTCCTTTTATTAATGGAGTTGCTACTGCATCGATGAGAGTCATGTCAAGCATCATAGAGTATGAAATATAATGTAAACAGGTTTGTATATGACTTTAAAATAAATGCTTATGTTATCATTGTATAATCTCCTGTATTCACTGTGTTAGCCTTTTGTTCTCCTACCAAACACTACTAACACTAGTTATTGCATATGACTTATACACAGAAAAGGATTAAGATCACTCAGAGCCTCTAGCAGGTTACTAGTTTGCCTCTTACTTCACTCTTTTTTATTTTTGAAGAGCATAACGGTACATACAGGCTTGTAAGCTGCGATCTGTCCTCTGTACCAGACCTCTTTACCCCCAAGAGCCCCGGCCTTAAGGGGAGCCAGCGCCGTGGTTCCATGGATCCTGTTTTACCTCTTGGCAAGGTATCAGGTCCAAGGGTGCTCCAAGGTTCAAGGAGCCTGTCGGTTATTTGGATGGCTATTCAGAGGTACCTCCATGAAGGTCCCCAGCCAAGAGTGGGGTCAGTGCTTTGGCATATCAATGGAGGCTACAGACTCTGCAGGTGGAGAAGTGTTTGGATAACGGTTATAAATACGCTCCCAGAGCTTTTGGCATATCCAATAATACCAAACTTCAAAGCGCTACATCCAGCTGTGGATTACATAAAAAACATAGAAACATAGAAACATAGAAGGTGACGGCAGATAAGAACCATTCAGCCCATCTAGTCTGCCCAATTTTCTAAATACTTTCATTAGTCCCTGGCCTTATCTTATAGTTAGGATAGCCTTATGCCTATCCCATGCATGCTTAAACTCCTTTACTGTGTTAACCTCTACCACTTCAGCTGGAAGGCTATTCTATGCATCCACTACCCTCTCAGTAAAGTAATACTTCCTGTTATTATTTTTAAACCTTTGTCCCTCTAATTTAAGACTATGTCCTCTTGTTGTGGTAGTTTTTCTTCTTTTAAATATAGTCTCCTCCTTTACTGTGTTGATTCCCTTTATATATTTAAATGTTTCTATCATATCCCCCCTGTCTCGTCTTTCCTCCAAGCTATACATGTTAAGATCCTTTAACCTTTCCTGGTAAGTTTTATCCCGCAATCCATGAACCAGTTTAGTAGCCCTTCTCTGAACCCTCTCTAAGGTATCAATATCCTTCTGAAGATACGGTCTCCAGTACTGTGTACAATACTCCAAGTGAGGTCTCATCAGTGTTCTGTACAATGGCATGAGCACTTCCCTCTTTCTACTGCTAATACCTCTCCCTATACAACCAAGCATTTTGCTAGCATTTCCTGTTGCTCTATTACATTGTCTGCCTATCTTTAAGTAATCAGAAATAATCACGCCTAAATCCCTTTCCTCATATGTTGAGGTTATAACTCTATCAAATATTCTGTACTCTGCCCTTGGGTTTTTACATCCAAGATGCATTATCTTGCACTTATCCACATTAAATGTCAGTTGCCACAATTCTGACCATTTTTCTAGTTTACCGAAATCATTTGCCATTTGGCTTATCCCTCCTGGAGCATCAACCCTGTTACATATCTTAGTATCATCAGCAAAAAGACATACCTTACCATCAAGACCTTCTGCAATATCACTAATAACAATATTAAAAGGATTGACAAGCTCTCCGGAAGATGAGGAAGTTGTGATGTGGCAACCATCTTGGGCAAGCCATGCAGTTGTTGGTACGGCAGGAGAGTCCTCAGTAATAGTTGGGTGAGTTTCCCCAGCATGGACTGGGATATCCATTTCCAGTCCAAAGGAGAGGGGGGAGGTTGCATTGGTTCAAGAGATTTTATTTATTTATTTTTTTTGCAATTCTTTCTTTTATTGAGGCACAGGTAGGTTGGGTACAGAAAATAAAATTGCAGTAATATGCACACCGATATATACTCTGCGACATGACTGCCTACTTTTAAAGTTATTGAATACACGCTAAACTGACACATCGCAGCTTACAGCAGAACAGTGTTAACAGGTAAAGACACGTATTGAATGTTACATGGTGGATAGTAAATTAGTTGCTAGCTATGGCTAGAGAATCATCAAATCCACGGAGAGGAGATAATTAGTGAAACATTATTGGCAATAAATTAGTAAAGTTGATAAAAAAAAATGGTCAGTGTGGTGCTACAATCACACAAAAACCAAGTGTACTATATTAAATAAAATGGTGAAAGCACACAAAATAAAATATTACCAGAAACTTTAGACAATGATGGTAAAATCTAAAAAAATAAAATAGAACATACACATAGGGTAATATAGTTAAAACCTGTTCTATGCATTAGAGCTGCAAATAGATTATATATGATGGACTTAGAACACACAAGATTGTGAATTGGAGCTTCGACTTGAGTGCCGATACTCTAATCCGCACGTGACCGCACGTCCCATGTCAGACGCAAGGATGCGCATGAATGTGAGAAAATGACGAACCCGGAAGTGATGAACGAGTTCTTGGAAAAAGGCACTAAAATTGATATAAAAGGGAAAACTATATGGATGTTTGCAGCTAAACTACTTTTGAGAAAGACGAGCAAGCAGAAAAACGTGTTAAGTGGAGGTGGACTTTATTTTTACTGTAAGGTTCTATTTTACTATTTGTTCCAATAAAGTTATGAATGACCTCTTACACCTATATCCGGCATCCTGGATTTTATTTTGGTGCTGCATCTAAGAGACAACAGTCGTGAACCCAGTATCATGACCCACATCAAGTTTCTACCTATTCCTTCTGTATAGTTTGAGGCAGATTTTGGAGTGAGTCAGAACCACGTGAGTGGATCCATTTATTTTAATACATAGAACAAGTTTTAACTATATTACCCTATGTGTATGTTCTATTTTATTTTTTAGATTTTACCATCATTTTTAGATTTTACCATCATTGTCTAAAGTTTGTGGTAATATTTTATTTTGTGTGTGCCCTCACCATTTTATATTATATAGTACAATTAGTGAAACATGCTTAACTATGCAAAGGTTAACTGTGTTAGCCTAACTCACGGGCATTAACTTCCCTGAGACTAGCAAAACATGAGAGTGAAACTGCATTGCAATACTTCGTAAATAAAATAGTGAGAAACTAAAAGAACATAAAAGAATACAAAAGAATGCAATGATGTTTGCAGATGTCGGCTTAGAAGGCTGCATAGGGAACTGGATGTTGTCCGTTTGACAAAGGAGGGCTTTGAATGGGGACCACTGTGCTTTTCCTGTATATGAGCCTATACCATTCAGCCTATACCCAACATGGGAAAAAGCGTTAAAAATGCATGGAGGTCACGGTGGGTGTCATCATGGAGGGTGCAATGGCAGTAACCCCTTCCAGCCCCAGGACTGTGTTTGGGTCGGCATCTTGTGGCCATGGACTTGAGCTGAGTCCTGGACTCTGTGAGTCCAAGTCCTTTCCCCCTATGGTGTAACAGGAGACCTTGATGGTGTGTAGCCAGCTTGGCGGCGGTCTGTTTTCTGTCTGCGTGGATGATGCTTTGGGGGACCTAGGTGGGTGAGAATTGATGTGTGAGAGTAGCTGTGCGCTTGTTATGCCTGAAGGGGCTCCTCTTACCTCTTGGATGCTGCTTGTCTAGTTGTCATCTTGTGTGGTAGAGTACATGCCTCGCTTCTCCAAGGAGTCCAAGAAGCGAGTGAATATTGGTTGCAGGAGATTCTTCATAAGAAACAAGCCCTACATTGGGAGATTGTCCGCCTCTCCTTGTAAATATATATCATTTTTACTTTTTGTTCAATAATTTGGCTGCAGCACACTCCATATAGCAGGTGAACATGGTCAATAGGTTCTGTAATTGTTCAGCCATACATTTTCTCAATCAAGAGTTAGGGTGCTCAGTCTGATTGTTTTATGCCCAGCACAAAGTGTAAGGCAATGCTTCTCTCAGAGCAGCACTGGATTCAATAATACTCTATGACAAGCATTGCTGGGTCAGTGCAGCAATTCCAGTGCCTGCACTCAGCCTCTCAATGCTTCTCTGTGAGAAGCAATGGATTAGCCAGAAAATCACAGGCATTCTTTCTGTCTTTTTTTCTGGAGATTGAGAGAAGCTGCAGTGAAGTAAATGTACCCATGTTACTGAGTTAAACAGTGTGTTACTGTACTTTACACGTCATGGGTTGTGCTTACAAAGAATAAAGAGAAGTACATCACCTGTGACAACATCCTTGACAGTCTTTTCACCATTGAGAGTTTATCGTAATAGCTTTGCGTAAGAGTTTATCATTTCTTTTATTCATTATAAAAATTATAAAATTAGTAATCTTAAATGGTTTTTTGTTTTATTTCGTACCAGAAATGTGTGTTTTTTGTATGTTGTTTAGAACTTTATATGGGTTCTTTAAGTTAAAAGTCTGTTTGTAGCTAAAAATATCATACACATACTAAATAATATCGGCTTTACAATAATCTTTCAAAGAGGTATAGATACAATGAATTTTACACTGAAATCCTGAGACCATCCGCCTCAATTCAATTCTTTTGGATAAGCCTTTTTTAAATGATTACAATCTGTTAGAAAAACATTTCACATGATTTCTCAATAAAAATTAAAAAAAATTCCCAAAGACTTTAATGGTGACTTCTGTAGATAAATCATTTGAAAGGTTTTTCTAACAGATTGTGATCATTGAAAGGTTTATCCAAAAATATTAAATCAAAGTCAAAGATAGGTGAAAGTGTTTACTGCTAGGAAGGGCAATACATTAAGAAAGATAGCAAATATTTGTTATATACAATAAAAAATGTTGCCAACCACATTCTATCACTGAAAATATTATTAACTATATGCACAATAAATATGCGTAAAGTGCATTCACTTAAAATAACAGTTGGAAACTGTGTGTTCAGAAAATGAAAGTGGTAATCTAGAGGTAAAGACAGTAACATTTTTATATTAAAAATAATAATATGCTAGTAGTCTCGACTCATGGTGAGGGGTAAAGGCTATGATCACTACTATAACCACAGGCTATGTTTCACCTCTGAATACAGCTCAGAGTACTTTGAGATGGGCATCTGAGTGCTCCTAACTGCACTGCATACTTCAGCTCAGAAAGGCTATACAGGGTGGTCTGATAATAGCGCAGAAAGCTGAGAAGTAATGGGAATACTCAGCCAGAGTACCCACATGTCATTACATGGGGGGGACAGGGTAGAATAAATGAGGCAGATTATTTTACAAACTGTGTTCAATAACTGCAAGGTGAAAATGAAGATTCTCTTTTTTACTGTTAGATAGTCATTTTTGTCCACAAGTGTTAAATCTGCATTAACTGCAGGACCTTTTACCCGTATCTACACTCTTGATACACAGGTGTGCACAGTACTGTAAAGCCTCAAGTAGCATCTTTTCTCCTATTAAATGACTTTTGCTTTGCCTAGTCTAGAAATATTCCCTGCTTGAATATAATCATAATCAACAAGGCGTTATCATGATTCTCTCTCAACTAATATCAGTCTCAAGGGACTCAACTCTTCATTTTTTGGAAAACGGCTGCAGAATCTTAAGACTTTTATTTTGTAGATGGGAAAAAGTGCACTGTGCTCCTACTAGCAGTCAGCTCCCATTACATCTCTTACTTGTTAGTGGTGATTTTAAAGAGCACGACCCTCCTTATAACTCTGCAAACAGCTCCGCAAACATGGAACCACAGGTCCTGACAGTGGGCTTGTGTTACCCAGCTCCCGACAGTGATAAAGTGATGTTTCAATCTCAGCAAAACCACATCAAGAACACCAAATGAATAATTTGATCCCCATATTAAATTGTATTTTGTCCCAGATTCTTTAATACATAATACACATTCCTCCAGCTTATGAAGGTCCCCATTTTATAAACCAGAAGAGCTACCCACTATTATTACTCTGGTTTGTATAAAGAATTAATTCCCACATTTAAATTCATCCAAACATGTTTTGGCATTCTTTCTACAGTCCACATGTTTGTTTGTAAATGCTTCTGCAGTTAGAAGATATTTCTATGAATTTATGCCATGAACAAAGAAATCCTTTCTATGTTTTTGTGATGTGGTCAAACAAACACATACATAAAATTAGAATGTTAATAACATTACTCCTTAAAAATGTAACTTGCATATATTTTTACCATAGAGATCCGTTGGTTAGGAACTAACAAAACCAAATATATCAACTATTTTTCCTAAAGTAAAAAACACAAATATAACCGCAGTTGTAAAAAAAAACAAAAAAAAACACACAAATACATAATCATAATATGGACCCCAAATACTTTACAAAAACATATGGACCCCACAATTTTTTTTTTATCAGGTCCAAGGGTGCTGCAAGGTTCGAGGAGCCTGTCGGTTATTTGGAAGGCTCTTCAGAGGTACCTCCATGAAGGTCCCCAGCCAAGAGTGGGGTCAGTGCTCTGGCATAGCAATGGAGGCTACAGACTCTGCAGGTGGAGAAGTTTTTGGATAGCAGTTATAAATACGCTCCCAGAGCTTTTGGCATATCCAATAAAAACAAACTTTAAAGTGCTACATCCAGCTGTGGATTGACAAGCTCTCCGGAAGATGAGGAAGTTGTGATGTGGCAACCATCTTGGGCAAGCCATGCAGTTGTTGGTACGGCAGGAGAGTCCTCAGTAATAGTGGGGTGAGTTTCCCCAGCATGGACCCGGATATCCGTTTCCAGTCCAAAGGAGGGAGGTTGCATTGGTTGCAAGAGATTCTATTCATTTTTTTGTACATAAAATGAGGAGAGGGGGCACATTTCATGTTTTCTAATGGACTTAAATTAAGATACTCTAGGTTTGGGTTTTGAGTTGCCTATCTAACTATCTAAGTATGAATGCTGTAAACAAAGCTTTCTGTATGTTTTGTTTGTGTTTAATTTTCACTAATTATATTTGTTTGCATTTATTGACCAAGGCAATTTTAAATCTTTTCTGAAACAGTTTCCTAATGTGCTGACTCATAAATATTTTCAACGGGAATATGGTGATGAATCTTCTCTTTGTGTAGCTACAAAAGAAAAAAAAATAAATGATCAAAATCTTTAGAAGTTCATAGTTGAGATATGATGTAAAAGGTCATGCTTAGTTTATAATATGCAATTTGTCCAAAATGAAAGAACTTTGCTAGATTTGTCATATTTCAATACTTCCTTTTTACCTTTTGAAATAGATTCATATTAAATTAATTGACATTTAAATCTTTATTGTTTACATATTTCTAATACATGGGTAATTAGTACTAAGGTGTCACCTTTAATTCATCATATTCTGGGCTAATATTCTCCATCTGAAGATCAGCATATACGGCATCAGAAGGTTTGGCATCCTAAAAATGTAAGCAGAAAAATCACATTAGCTTCAGTTTAATTTTTCCTTTTGTTTATCGTTAAAAATACATTTTAATCACGTGGTTGATGGTTTAGGATTGGAAACGTGATCAAAGTTAAAAAGTGTGCTGAATTATCTTGAATGAATGACCAATGAGGTAAGTGCTAGATATTTATAACCACTAATACCACACACACACACACACACACACACACACATATAACTATCATTACACTTTTGTATTTTTATGTAACATGTTCAAAGTTTCTGTATACTAACCTCTGCTTGATTTGCCATACAGCATAACACCTTTTAAAACTTTCTGTATACTAACCTCTGCTTGATTTGCCACACAGCATAACACCTTTTGAAACTTTCTATATCTGTGGAAGAGGTTATAATCAATTAAAAATGATGGTATTAAGGTATGTTCCCATCCCCTCCACATATGTGACAGTGCCATGCTCTAATCCTCACTGAGTAAGTAGGTAGAGGGACGTACATAGCCCCTGCCGTGACCCACTTCAACATTCTACAACCAGTGACTGTGTGCTGGTATGAGGTTTCACCCACTCCACCTGCTCCCGTCTGTCCCCTGGGTTGAACTTCCCATTGTATGCTCTGCATAAGACCCTTTACCTCCAACAAAGGAAGCCAATCAGTAGAAAAAGAAGCAGACATATTATTCCAGGCACAATGATAATTGTAGGATTCAGTGTGTAGGATGTAGACTTGCTTTCAGGATCTGTAGAATATATGTACATATAGGTTAAATGGAAAGTACATTTACTTGCAACAATATAAATATAAATATAAACCAAAGGAAAAAAAGTTACCTGGGCTCTCTCCTTAATGCCTTTGTATATTTAGACAAATGGAAGTCATTTAGTTAAATATACATAGGGATTAAGGAGAGAGCGCAGGTAACTTTTTTTTTTTTTTTATATATATATATTGGGGCTGATGTGTACTGTGGTCATTGCTGCCGCCCAGGTGTGATGGGAGTGAGCGCATGACTTATAATTTTATATTTGTATTCACTTTTTGTATCACACAGCTTTGTTGCAATGCTGCCGCCCATCCCATGTGTTCCCTATCAAGGGTTAATAAATATATATGGGGTGTATATAAAAAATACCCCTTTCTGTCTCATTAGAGATAACTTTGCCAGAAGCTCAAGGAAGCAAGGTGAAAGGTCAGTGTTAGGACCCGCTTAGGGGGGTCTTGATGTTGACAGGTGTTCATTCCCTCCAATGGCTAGTGGAGTAACTAAATGACCTCCGTTTGTCTAAATATACATAGGGATTAAGGAGAGAGTTTTGGTTTTTACTATATATTGGGGCTGATGTGTACTGTGGTCGTTGCTGCTGCCCAGGAGTGATAGGAGTGAGCGCAGGACTTATCTTTTTATATTTATAAATGTAAAACAGATTAAATAGTTAAAATACATTGAATGGACTGAGGTGTGGTAAAAAACAAGTTGCCAAATTTAGACCAAAGCAAAAGAATTGGAAAAACATCTCTAAATCAGTTATTTTATCATAAATTGTGTCAATAATCAACCTGAAAATGCTTCTAAACTAATTCCTAAGTGATAGCTCACTTGAAAAGGGTACATGATTTCATGGTTAAAAAAGTTCCATGATTATATATTGACTTATAATGGCTTCAGCTAAATTAATAAATGAAAAAAAAAAAAAATATATATATATATATATACAAAAACCTTTGCCAAAAAGTGGTATTCTTCATTGTATTTCAAACTGTGAATTCTGTGAAAACACACTTACTTGATTCAGTATCATTATCAGTGATGATAACGGAATGACTAGACAAGGATATTCCAATTTCATTGTGTACTGCGCAGATATAATTCCCAGATAACTTTGAGGTGATGTCATGCATAATCAGGATTTTCTCTGTCTCATTCATTAGAACAGAACTGTTCAGATACCACGTATAGTGGCTTGGTTCTGGATTACAGGCCAAGAAATTACAAATCAGTTCCATAGTATCTCCTTTACTGAACTTGTTTTTCCCAGGTATAATTGTAACTCCTTTGGCAGCATCTAATAATTTAAGGACCAAATTATTAAAATTATTTTTCATAGCACACATCCAGAACTACACAATTTTACATAAGAATAAGCTGTGAACTCATTTCCGTACATAGCACTCCGTAATGCAGTTTGTATGTAGAGTATCACGATGGAGCATATTGTGTTTAAGCATCAAATAAACATTATTTAGTCTAGTGAGTGCACTCCATCATGACACTATGTAACAGCAGACAATGCACATCTAATCAGATCATGCAATACACATACGTATGCCTGTAATTTTACCCCTTCAGGATTCCCTTTTATTCCAGAAGTTGTGTCCTTAAGGGGTTAATGGTTTTTCAAATTCTATTCTTTAGAATGAGTAATGTTACACAATGCAGTAAAAACACTTTGTGTGGTGTGGCAGACACTCTTTGGTGCTACTACATCATACATGTCTTCGTTGAGATTGTTTTAAATAATACTTCTAGGCAACAATTAGTCTTTGCTACTGACCCCATTAATTCAGCCACTCTCCTGAAACTGGGAGAGGGGTTGGGGACACAGAAGTGGTGCGTTTTTGTCTCCATACCTACATTAGCAGAATATCAATAATAGAAAGAGGCCGAATATAAGCGAAAGGGCCGCTAGAGCTTAACGCAATGGTTCTGGAGCAAAGAGACTGACCCTGCAGCCTCAGCAATGTAAATACTGTAAACAGAGAATTATAATGTCACTCAGACAGTCAATGGAATCAATTACTGGAGCAGTCCTGTAATCTTTGCTGGACCAACGTTTGGTGTCTTTTTGTCCTGCAGAAACCAAATCAATGCATCTCTATGAGCATATGCTGATTGGTGCAGCACACAATGCCGGTAAACTAAAGTTAAGTAAAACTTTGTATTTTACTTGTTAAGGAGGGTGCCCATAAATCTAAACATTTAGGAGAAATTCTCTAGCAGTAGGAATACGTGTTTTGCATTCCAAAAAGCTAGAGTGTCCCTTTAGGGGCCAAAGATGCAAACAATGATACCCTCCAAGCAAAAACTCTGCTGAGTTCATTAATATAATATTTTTTTGTATACCAGGTCTAGGAGCTCTACACTAATAGATTCATGGACATACTGTGACACAATGAAGCACAAAAAATGAATTTTTATTCTTGTCATATAGATTTCTGCCACAGTCCTTAATATGTTTGTTACTAATTTACTATTTAAAGTAGTGATGACATTCCACACATATTACCTACATTCAATCTGGAGTAAAACCGTTGTTTCCATTATTTGCCCAGTAGGATGTGCAACTGTGCACTGAAGGAATGTCCCATGATCTTGATACGATGGAATATACATTTGCACTATCTTAGTTCTCCAAACTCCATCTTTCAGTTTAGTATGATATGTATCGTTATACAGACCAGGCTTGTTCCACCAAAGTCTTGGTGGATCCGAGATACAAGTGTGATCCATTAAGCAGGTGATTTTTACTGGTTTTCCTTCTGTCATGTCTCCAGGCTCTAGAATAACTAGTACATTGGGAACAGCTAGAGAGATTGCATTAATACAATTGCTATTTTGGAATTCTGCTGGATTACAGAAAACAAGGCATAGGCAGTATATGCTCTAAAAAATGTGTGTTTACTTAAATTTACACTGATCAGCCCCAACATTAAAACCATTGACAGGTGAAGTGAATAGCATTGATTATATTGTTACAATGGCACCTGGCAAGGGGTAGGATATTTACTGTGCAGCCAGTGACAGTCAGTCATGTGTTGGAAGCAGAAAAAATAGGCAAGCAAAAAGATCTGAGTGACTTTGACAAGGGCCAAATAGTGATGGCTGGACAACTGGGTCAGAGCATCTAAAAAAACTTGTGGGTAGTTCCTGGTATGCAGTGGTTAGTACAAACCAAAAGTGGTGCAAGGAAGGATAACTTCCTTGGTGAACTGACATCAGGGTTATTGGCACTCAAGGCTAATTGATTCATGTGGGGAACAAAAACTAGCCTGTCTGGTCCGATCACACAGAAGAGCTACAATACCTCAAATTGATGAAAAATATAATGCTGTCAATGATAGAAAGGTGTCAGAACACAGAGTACATCATAGTTTGTTGTGTCACAGTTCCCATGATGACCCATGTCCACCTCTGAAAGAGCTTTCAATGGAGACGTAAACATCTGAACTGGACCATTGAGCAATAGATGAAGGTTTGCCTGGTCTAATGAATCACATTTTCTTTTAGATCAGGTGGATGGCTGGTTGTGTACCTGGGGAAGAGATGGCAGTATGCTCTATAGGAAGAAGGCAAGCTGATGGAGGCAGTGCTCTGGGCAATGTTCTGCTGGAAAATTTTGGGTTCTGGCATTCATGTGAATGTTACTTTGACACATACACCTACCCAGAGATTGTTACAGGTTCCCATAAAATTCACCCTTCATGGCAATGGTGTTCCCTGATGGAAGTGGCCACTTTCAGAAAAAAATGTTCAAGAATGGTTTGAGGAACACAACAAAGAATTCAAGGTGTTGCCTGGTCTCCAAATCCCCCGGATCTCAATCCAATTAAGCATCTGTCGGATATGATGCATGAAGAAACCACCTAGCAACGTGCAGGAGTTAAAGGATCTGCTGCTAATGTCTTGGTGCCAGATACCACAGGACACATTCAAAGGTCTTGTGGAGTCCATGCCTAGATGCATCAGAGTTGTTGTAACACCACAATATTTGGCAAGTGGTTTTAATGTTGTAGCTAATCAGTATATGAACCAGAATATAATACACATAGAGGCTATTATACAATAATATTTATTTTAATGAATAATTGTGGATTGTTTTCTTTTGACTAGCATTTCTACTCCATGTGATATTTTAAGAGAACTAAACGACCTTATTCTTCTTCACTTTTATTGACTGACTCATAACCAGTTCATAGGAACATCCCATGCTAAAGTAGCAGTATGCTAAATCCTCCACCACTCTCTTATGCCATTCTACCACCAAACGCATCCTCCCACACAAAATTACTTAAAGGAGCTCTCTGGTCTTTATCAAAATTAAGCGGCTGTGGTGCTATGAGGTCCCTGGCACTTCATTTTCATTTTAAATGTTTTTTGAATCATGTTATAACATCATATCATTGACTGCATTTGGAGTATAATATAATTTAATATTTACAAACTTGACATCTGCTTTGTCCTCAACCACAGCCATACTCCCACCCTGTGCTATATTACGAACTCCAAATATGAAGCATTAAAGTGGCACTGGCACTAATTATATAATAGAAGGTGTTATTTTTCCATTAGTATTACAGTCTTTTCAGAACCCCACTCAGGGTTCCACCCACCCCCCAGCAATTTAGAACTCTGTACAAATATTGAATAACCTTATAGACGATATTACATTTTTTTATTTCTCATAAAATATATATTTTGTTTAGCTCAACGATGTATAACTAATGTTTTGTACATTATTCCATGTGTTAACTAATGTGGATGGATCCCCTTTCCTATTTCCAAGTTTCCCTTTCCTTTCCTACCCCGAATAGCTTGTTTGACTATTTGTTATTATTTGCTGTAAAAACATTATAACTTTAATAAAAATGATTTGAAAAGAAAATATCACATCTTGTATCCCTTTTTTTACTTTGTAGAACTTTTTTCAAGTACTGCTACTGTAAAAGACTGCATGTGAATTTCTTGAGTAGAATATGGAAGTGCAACCTTAAGTCAGCATCAAGAATGAGAGCTAGAATGAATTGACTGGGTAACATGTTGACTAAAAAGATTTTCTAGCATGTCTGCCAGCATATGCTATTTTAGTCTATTGGGGAGATTTATCAAAGTTTTCTGTTGTAAAAAATGGTCAAAAGAAATAAAAATAGGAAAATCACTATGTAAACCAGTCAGGCTAGCTTGAAAAATCCATGGGTGGCTTCTCCCCTTTTTTCATTTTTTACATGTAAAAAACACTTTCATAATTATAAACAAAAGTGAAAATTGTTAGGAATTCAAAGTGAATTTCAAAATCAGGCCAAAACAGCTGAAACACTATGTTTCCATATTGGGCCTTAGATTTGAATTCCTAATGAATCTCAATTTAGTAAATAACCATGTTTGACAAATTATACCCCATGAATTATGGATAATCCTGCGCTGATAAACTCTGATCACTTTCCATACATAATACTCTATATTCATACAGTAAACAAAATGTACTAATGTGGGAAGACTTTTATACCTGTGGTTTGAAGTTCTATAACCTTGTTCTGAAGTTTATATGCATTCATTTTTGTATCTATTCCTGGATAAAAGTGACCAGAATCCTCAAGCGTCACGTTATTTACCCTCAGGGAGCACTTGTTTTTGTCCTTTCTCACTAACGATGTGCGTCCTCTGTAAGATGCAATTGTTTCTGAGATTCCGCTGGTTTTAAAAATCACTGTATCGTAAAATCTCTCATGCCGATACCATACAATATTATAAGATGTATAATTACTGGGCTTAACAAACTGGCAGGGAATCTCAACACAAGAACCAATCAGCGCTACCATCCGTGAAGGGAAAAAAAAGGACCATTGTTGGCCAGAGGAATCTAAAACTTAAAAAGAAAATGAAGATAATGCCAAACATTCAATCCAAAAAATGTAGATATAAATGCAACCTGTCATCTAACAAAAACCCTGAATCCATAAATCGAACCTACAAATATTAAGTATCAAAACCATGCACTTTCTTAAGTGTAACATGCAACATTTTTAGCTATTTTAAAAACATAAAATATATAGAGATTATTATAGAAAGCTCTGCATTTCTTTCTTTGTGCTATGTCTCATGTAGGTGTGGAACCTCCCAGGCAGATAACCTAATAGAAGATACAGGGTAGAGCTAGAACAAATCATTAAGTGGATACTACCCAAATTAAAGAAAAGAAAACACTATTTAGCAGTTATACCACCAATTCATCTTATTATGCATTTTTCATTGGAGGTTTACCAAACAATCTGTAGATGTCGTGTCTACAGTCTTTGCAAGTCATCCCCTTCTAACTTCGCCCAGACTTTCTGTGGCTGTCCATTCCCAGAATTCCTAATGTACCATAATGAGAAGTCTCTACAAGGCTGGTGCTCTGGGAAATTGCTGCCTAAATTGCAGGCCGACATTAAATCAAGGAAGACTTTTGAAATGAGGATGCCCGATCTATACTCCGGTCAAATGACTTTTTTAATGAAAAATCTAATAACATGGATGCCATGCTTGCATGAGCCATTAGGCCTCGACCAGGTATTAAACCAATCACCTCTATTGGAGAAGAAGGTGGGGAGGTGAGGCCACATTCCTACAGGAAATTATTGACATTTGTAAAATGTTTCACTGCCCTCTAGAATTACTCTCCTCTGCACACTAATGCACAGCATTATGAACCTTGGATCTTCTAGCCCTGACTATCGACGCTGTTGACACACTTGACTTGCCAGTAACCTAAGATGAGATCCACCGGGCCATAGCAGCACTTAAGGACTCTTAGGCCCCAGGCCCAGATGACTTTGATAGCAGCTAATACAAGTCACTTAAGCTACTACAAGTCATCTCAAGAGAAATTAGTGCCATATCTGGAAACTCTCTTTAAAGATTTAATGACAGGAGGTACTCTAAATCCTGGCATGGTGCTAGTTAATATCGTCTAAATCCTAAAACAATTATGAGACGAGTCACAGGTGACAAACTATAGACCAATCTCCTTAATCAATTTTGATTTTAAAGCATTGGTGGTAAGGCTTAACCCACATGTGACCTCCCTAGTCCACACTAACCAGGTGGGATTAATCCTGGGGAGACAACTCTATGAAAATACTCATGCTAGTAGAAATATCGATCTGGTTTGGTGCTTGGTGGACTCCAGAATATCTTCTCTGGTCCTTTTCTTGGTTGCGGAGAAGGTTTTTTGCAACTTGTACTTTTTTATTTGTTTTAGTGTTTTAATATTCTGAACACATTTGTTCATAATTGGCGCATCCTTTTCCTGATTTGCTGCATTATTCTATAGCTGTTGGGTCTTTGAGGGAGCCGCATTTTTGGGTGTTTGCTGCCACCTTTTTTTTCTATTTGGTTGTACAGGGCTGAACCGTCTGTTTGCTTAATATTGTTTGGGGTTAACAGCTCTTGTTTGTTGTATGTAACACTATGCTGCTATATCACTTTTATTATGTCCACAACTCTGAATTTCATGTGAAGCAATAAATAAAGAATTTAAAAAAAAATTCTAGGACACCTAAAAATAATGTATTTTTAGTAAATAAGTCATAATATATGTAACAGTTGCATTATAAAAATGTATTATACCTTGAAGAATGATAAGAATGAAAATCTTCATTGTGTTATAATGTTTACTGAGTCGCCAATTTTCTCAGGTTTTCTACTTTTTCATAACCTACATTAAAAATCAATTCATATGTAAAATATTAATAATTTTTAAAGGAAGTTTGTAAGGAATTGTTTATGGCACACATTTAATAAAAATGATGTGTAGATTTAAACTAAAAATGTTTCATCAATATATCAATTTGTCAGTTTTGTTTTTTTATAATGTTACAGGGCCACATTAGGAAACTGCTGGTTTAAGGTTCTGCACTTCCCACAACTCCTCTCTCTGACTCATGAACAAAGTAACTGAGGGTCTGACTCAGAGAACTTTCTGATCACTATTTAAGTCTTTAAGAATGGCTACTTTCACTTACAATAAGTGATACATTCAAAACAAATAAACAAGCACACACTAGGTTCATTATATGGGTAGTTAGCACTGCATCAAGGGTTTAACCCCTTCACGACCGCTGATGGTTCAGGACCGTCATTGGAAAAATCCCATTGAGGACCGATGATGGTCCTGAACCGTCATAACGGTAATATGTACTTACCCGATCGCGGTCGTTCCACCGGCGGCGATCGGTGTTGCTCCCGGTGTGGGGAGACTGCATGACAGCCCAGGCAGTCTCCCCATGGCAAATTAGGACCCTGCGGCCACGTGATCGCTCAACAGAAATGATATATAGACATATATAATATATGTCTATATATCTTATATATAAAAATACACTTATAATTAAATTACACATATATATATATATACTATATATAATAACTATATATATTATATATATTATTATAAAATACAAATAATATAAATTAAAAAACTTAAAAATAATTTTAAAAAAATCAAAATTGTGTGTGTATATATATATATATATATATATATATATATATTTGTGTTAGGTACTCATGATAGTACAGAGTAAAAATACCCTAATTAAATGTAGGATAGTAAATAGAGCAAGTCGGTTGTGGTGTGCCGGAACCGATGATGAGGTAGGCCTGAGAAAGAAGAGGGCAAAAATTAAGTAATCAAATTTATTACAGACAACCAATACAGATACACATATCAACCAGACATGTTTTTGAAAGCATCCCTTAATTCTTGTACTGGGTTTGGTATGTACCGTGAATAAGTGGATGATTTCCAGCGCCCCAGTGTTTTTATAACATGAACTGGAATGTTGACACTGGAGGCTGTGGATGCTGCCCCTATGCGGAAGGAGTGCCCTGAGTAGTTAGCTAGGCTGAGGCCCAGTTGAGTGAGTAAAGACCTGATATAGGTCATAAAGGTTGTAGTGGTGAGTATCGAACTTTGTAGTGTGAATAATGGTTGTGATGGTAGTAAGTTATGATGCTGTATGTATGTATCAAGAATCATGACGGTGCACCACCTGTTGTGCGTGGGATAGTAAGCTATTTTTACTGGCGCATGCTGACTGGTTTTGGAGTGAGGCAGAGTCAGGATGCAATGATCCATGTGTTTTGTTAAGTGGGAATAGAGGAGAATAGGAGTAGATTGTGTAGCGTTGGTCGTGGTGAATTCTCTAGGTCTTAGGAATTCATAGAAAGCTATGTAGATTGCTGCTTTGATGACAGAATTTGTGTTGGTGTCAAAAGGTTTTAAATCAAGCAGGTTAGACAATGCTTTGAAAATATTGTTGTCTATGGGTAGCCTCTGTGATGTACATGCGGGTTCAGATCTCTGAATGCCCCTGAGGATAGTCTTAATCTGGTGAGAGGCCATGAAACTTGTGTTGTTTGGTTGTAAGGTTAGCATATGGTGCTGAATGCCTGTGAGATATAGGTTGATGGTGTTGTATGACATTTTAAGTTTAAGGTGGCAAAAAGAAGCGAACCCCAAAAAAGATGTCATGACGAATGGTTGCATGATGTTATGTTACGAAAGGAATGTTTTGAATAATGTAAAGGCCCTGTCGTATGTTTTGTGCGTATTTTTTGACAGTGCCAATTGGGACAGTGCCCTGCTATGATGCATGATGATATCTAGTCCAGTATTAGTTGTTGAAAAGTTGGCGTAGTTGAGGCTGTGAGCGCAGCTGACGGGCGTGCTTGATGAAATGCCTGAAATTTAAAACGAGACAAACTGTCAGCAGCTGTGTTACATATCCTGGAACACGGAAACAATACAGGAAGAAATTATGACAAGCCACCAAGCAAGTGAGTTTCCTCAGAAATCTCATGATCGTAAGGGATTTGGAACGACCTTTGTTGATGTAACAGGTTGCCTAGTTATCTGAGTAGCAACGTACTGGCATGTTTGCCCATAAATGACTCCATGCTACGGCAGCCACCACAATGGGATAGATCTCAAAGATAAGTAGTGGAAAAACCCGCCAAATCCTGAACTGCTGTAGGCGAGCTGCCCCTACCTGTGGTAGATGCCGCATCTGACCAAATAGTAGGTGATGAGTCAGTTAATTGGGGGAGGAACACTTTTACCATTCCAAGTGGTTAAAAATTTCTTCCACATGCATAAGTCTGCCATAGCTTGAGTATCTAAGGACAACCTGTGTGTGTCGTGTAGGAAGAGTGGAAATAGATACAAGAGTCGTGATATGAAGGAGCGGCCTTGAGGTATGATACGCATGGCAAAATTTAGAGAACCCAGCAGGGACTGTAGCTCTTTGCAGTTGCAAGTACCGAGCTGAAGGTAGTGGTTGATGTAGGTCAGAATGTTTCCTATCTTGTCGTGTGGCAGGCTTGCTTGCATCGTGGTTGAGTCTAATTGAATACCCAGGAATGTGATAATCATGTCTGGCCCCTCGGTTTTCTTTGAGGAGATTGGGACACCTAGATTGATGGTAGCTTTGAAGCCACTGGGTGGGGAAGTGTTCTCCTCGACCAGTAAGAAATCATCCAGGTAATGTAATACCGTAGGGCATCTGGCTATGTTCAATAGTAACCAGCACAATGCTTCTGCAAATGTGTCGAAAATAGCCAGGCTACTTTTGGACCCAAAAGTTAAACGGGAGAAAAAATAGTAGTTCCCGGACCACTTGATGCCATGCAGGTGCCACAGTGTAGGGTAGATTGGCAGCAATTTAAAGGTGTGAGTAATATCGGTCTTACTAAGCCATGCTCCGACCCCTGCCTGTATGATAGCCGTAATGGCATAATCTATGGTAGTGTATTGCAGGGAGAATTCTTCAGAGGGTATGAGGGAATTGAGACTGGGGTTAGCTGATGAGTGTGGTGCAGACAGATCAATGATGAGTCTCTGTTTAAGGGAAGATTTCCCTTTGACAATACCAATGGGGTTAGTGCACCATTCTTTGAACGGAGGAGACTTGAAAGGCCCCAATAAGAAACCCTCAGGAAACAGGGAACTGTGGATGCACAATAATTAAGATGCACAGCGACCTTTCAAATTGAAAGGGACATACAATGTGGGCGTTGTAAAGTGTGTACCTTAAACATCGAGACTCCAATATCAAGACATGTCAAAAGTGCACATCAGGGAGATCCTAACTGATTAATATTCCAAGGCACTGAATTGGTAACCACCAATCAAAGGAAGGGCAACCTTGATAAACGCCAGTTGAGGAGGAAGTGCTTTTGGATATACCATTTAGGAACACTCTCTCCCCTTGGCCTAAATGAGGGGTTTACATATTCTGCTTTTATTATTGATCTCTACATTACTTTTTAGACTGAATTATGTGGAAAATTCAGCAGCCAATATACCTGCTTTCAGCAATATACTTTCACCATACAACCCTAGCATTTCTAACCTTTAATCTATATTATAGTGGAACCTGAATACAGCAACATATATACTACTGTGGAATTGACCCTGTTAAATTCCCATTAAAAAGGAGTTAATTTAGAACAATATAATTCCTCTACTATTTAGTAGATAAGACTCATAAAAGATATAACTTTCCCTCTCTTCCCTTCTTTCCTCATTCATTCTTCCATATATGATACATTTTATAAATTAACCAAAGTATTTCATTTTATATCCAGTAAAACTGTTGAATCATGTTTCTCTAAATTATATAGACTCTGGAATAATACCAAGGTTATCATAAGTGTAAATACTAATAGAATTTGAAATATCTCACTAAGAGAGCCATAGTATTCCATACCATAAAGGAACATCACCTAAACATTATTTCCTGTAATAATTTGGTATATTCAAATATTACAAGTGTCATTTTTCATTTACTGTTTTTATTTTTAAATTATTGTTTTGGGGGGGGTACATGATATAAACACTATACCACCAAACATCCCAGTGAGATCTATGACAAAGCCAGGATAACCTATTAACGATGTTCATAGAAGTTACAAAGTGAGTGTAGGGGAGATCGGGAAGAAGAATTTACAACATATCTGATACTTAATCACAAAGATACAATGATGCTACAATTCCTGGTGTCAATGTTCACTGTATCGATACTATTGTTCTTTTTCCACGAAGAAACTAAGTAATCTCAGAATGGGGTGTTTTCAAGATCCGTCTGGGTGATGACGTCAACAGGGAAATAAGATAGTTTCAAGCCGCCCGGAGGAAACATTAACTGACAAATAATGGTAGGCTAAAGCTATAGTGAAGGTGAGCTCTACCATCTTTAGAAACCAGATACTTTCAAAGTTTCTCCCCTGACAAAACTGCTTCCAAAAGCGCGTCGGGATACTTTCTCACATCACTTAGCACTATGCACTGATCTTCACATTTTTCTTTATTCATCATTTATTTATTATAGGAAAATGTGAATAAGGGAGGTTCATTCCAAGAATGTATAGATAGTCGGAGAAGATATACAATACGGATCTAATTGCAGCTATAAGGACATCTAAATTAACCCGCACCCACAAAGGTGTCCTTGTGATCATTTAGCCAAAGTAGCAACATCCAGACGTGTACATGGGAAGCATGCACGTACAGCTCACTGGACGAGGAGGCTAGAAATCCAGTAACTCTAGAAGGGTAATAGCTCCTCCAATATCCCTAATCCAGAATTGTTTTTGGGGGATCTTGATATGTAGGTGAACGATATGTACCACAAGAATTATTGTCCTTCCTTTTGCTCTGATCCCCTGTATGTCTGATAGACTGACGGTTTGTCAATTACCGCCATTCATTACAGCTGATGTAAATCACCCTATATATGCAGATTTCCCCCAATAATATATTCTTTTATTTGTTTCTCCAAGTACTTGGAATTGAAACTGTATACGCCCCTTTGTTACTCCTAGCCACTCAACAGCTTAGTTAAACTCTCCCTCTTTAACCCCATAGTACCACAGTTTCAAATTGGACCATTATCTGGAGATTTAACTTTTGGACATTTGGATATCTACTCTTTGAGACCAATGTACTCATCTATGTCTGACAATTGAGAGACCTTATAATGTTGACCACAACTCCATCTGTTTTTTATAACTATATGGATAGAGTCACTTATGAGTAATACATTTTAAGCAATGACAATAAAGTCTGCTGGTATACCAATTGAATAATTTTATACCTATACTTTTCTATTTAGCTTCGTTAAGCGTTATATGTGGTACTCACCTTTATCCGCCTGTTAACTGATTAGTACCCAAGAGGAATTTCTCAGAGGAGAATTTCCTTATTTCTTGATTCTATATTATACAAAGTTTGCACAGTGTTTACCTATATGGAGCCCCGCTACCCACTCTGCATGCTGGGAATTAGTAGAAAATATTGTCCCACACTCAGGCATCTTGGAAACTGATGCTGATTGTTGGAAGTGCAGCAGACTTGTTTTATATTAACATTACCTGGGCACCTTACTCCAACCCACCTTTCAATTTCGTTTCCTGGTGTGACTAAAAGAGAACTTTTCACCAAGTTGGCTGCCATGGAAAATCAAAATTTATTTCCCTCCATTCTTTGGTAGTGGTTAGGTTACTTCATGTGCGATTAAATAACCAAATCTCAGAGGGCGCTGGTAGAATAGTTAAAGAAATATTTCAGGCACAAAAACCACTACAGCCCTACAGGTATACAGGGGGAGACTGGTGTTGTACATGGGAGTTAAGGGCTGTAGTAGGAATTAGGGGCTGTAGTTGGAGAAATATTTCAGGCACAAAAACCACTACAGCCCTACAGGTATACAGGGGGAGACTGGTGTTGTACATGGGAGTTAAGGGCTGTAGTAGGAATTAGGGGCTGTAGTTGGAGGCCAAGGGGCATAGTGTGGGAATAGATGTTGTGGTAGAGAAATAGGGCATTAAAGGTAATGAGGAATTTGAGATGTAAAGGGGGATAGTGGCTTTAATGGAAGGATAGTGGCTGTAGTAGGGAGACAAAGGCTCCTGTAATGGGGGTTTTGGTTGTAGTAGAGAGGGAAATATGGGCTGTAATGTAAGATAGGTCCTGTAGTGGAGAGACAAGAGTTACACTCTAAACACCGGAACACTAACGAGCGTCATGCTGGTGACGGGCACTTTCCAGGTATAAAAATGACCACCACCATGCACGGCAGCCATTATAAGCAAACAAGCATGTGGTCTGCTAGGAGGGGCCTCAATCCTCTGCACTGCCTGATGTCCTGAATGTCCAGTCTGCCCATAATTAAAACTAGATATGCTAAATAGTTTGCTATCATTTAGTGCTAACTAGCTTCCCATGTCATGGTTGTTTTTAACAAGTCTACCACAGTGATAGATAGCTATGGCACTGCAAATGTTGAGATAATGACCATTATTAATTCCCATGCAGAATTTAGACAAGCTAAGAATCATGGAAAAATTAGTTAACATAAATCTTCATTATCAGTTTTAGCCATCGTTCTTCTTTACTATTTAAAAGCAAAAACATTTTATAAATGTGTCACAATCTGGCTAGCACAATGCAAAAAAAACAAGTTAGCTGTAGAAAATGTCAGCAGGTTAAATTTGCATGAATATTGACTTCATTATTAAACATATACTACTGATACTGTAGAATATACAACACTCCTAGAATATTCCACATTTAAAAAAAAATCTTATTTAAAATGTTAAAATTTTAAATTTAAAAAAATATAAAGAGGCATTATTTACTTATGTAAGTGAAAGAATAATATAGTTACAAAACATATACTAGTGAGACGCCACAATCATAAGTGAGCGTGTATATATCCCAGATGGATTGTAGGATGACACGTAATAGAAACAAACAGGAACATATAAATAGTGAAGTATTTAATAACAAAAAAAATAAGGAATAAAAAAAATATAGATACACTCACCAATATAAATACTTCTGTTTGTGCTACAGAGCTTGTTAGCCACTTGAGGGCTAAGTCCCCATACATTGAATATCAACCTTGGTACCTCAGGACGTTAATCACTCCTTTATTCCAACGATCCTCAGGTGAAGTAAAAAGGTGATAGTGATGATCAAATAGATCCAGCAGGTATGGGCTGTACACTTGGAATCTTGGGGATAATTCAAGCTGTCCTTAGAATTTGCCACATTTAAAAAAAAATCTTATTTCAAATGTTAAAATTTTACATTAAAAAAAATATACAGAGGCATTATTTACTTACGTGCCTTTGTTGCTTGTTGTTTGAAAGTATCTAAATAAAGGAAGTACAAGAGCAAATGGAGCAATATCCTTTATATAGTCCATTGCACAATGCCACCCTACATTTTAAAATAACTATAAGTAAAAATGTGACTTTACTGTTTAGTAAATTATATCTGATTACGGTAGAAAATGTACAATAATGTCCACACAGTTTTTTTCGTAGAGGTCTGCAGCTAAAAAACAGCAGAAATAAAGAAACTCTCATATTTACCTATCCCTGTGAGTCAATGGTTTATTCCAACACTTGAGAAGTAATTGCAGTAAAGCAGACCACAAGACAACACTATCAGGTTCCTTTTTTCGTTGGTGTTACTTGGTAAAAATTACTTCTGTCTTTGAGAAAATTGGCCTCGATATAATAAGCTTTCCTAATGATTCAATATTATTAGAAATATATTCCAAATTACTTGCACCAACGGACGTCAACATTAAATTCTATGACAAACTCCCCTCTCCAAGTGAGTTTGCCACGAGCTCCTGGAGAAGCCTGCTTGCCAACCTCCTGCCCACAGACTATGAACCTGGCAGGGAAACCTGTAAAAGATTACCGTTCTTGACCGATTTCATGGAACTGTTTTGGGCATAGGACCATGTGCACGGTCGGTCAAAATTATGACTTCCATGAAAATCCTGAACCCCTGAACCGATCTGGGTGATTTTCGAATTGGTTGGTCACCCAGATTGGAACTATCAGGGGATGTAACTTTTGTGGGGCTTTATGTATTTTTAAGGTGCTTTTGGGGTTTTATAAAAATGTGTGTTTTTCTGTGCTTGGAGATAATTGGATTAAATTAGTACAGTTCCTGATCCAATTATCTCCCACGCACAGAGGAGGGATAATCTGGTTATGTATGGGAGTGTCCTGGAGTTGAGAGCCAATACAATGGTGTGTTTGTTTCTTCTGTAGTCTACTCTCAGGTCACGGGTGGAGTGCCCCTTGCATTGGGATTGTCATAAAAGGTCAACTGTGGCTGCCAATAAATGAGTTCCAGCTTGCACACCAAAACTGTGTGTAGTCCTGTTATTGGAGGGAAGCAAGATTTAACCTCTGTGTCTGCTGTTCCAGCTTGCAGGGGATACAATGGGGAAAGTTCTTGTAAGGACTAGAGCTCCCAGGACTGAGTGTCGTCCAGTGCCTGGGGGTGTCTAGAGCGAATTCCCCAATCGGCTCCAGGAAGGAGCGGTTCCAGGGCCCCAGTCAAGCCACGGTGACTGTGGGCAGAAGTGATGCGGTTTGTCTCCTGTTCCAGCTAGGAAGCGGTCCATTGGTGGAGGTACCCAGTCGGCGTACAGGGATCTCCGTCACAAAGTCTATGTGATTTTTTTGTTTTTCTGGCACTATTGTATCATTTGGAAAGTTTATTAAATTTAGTCCATATATGCCTTGATTTAATATTGTTGGATAAACTGTAAACTAAAATTGATTGGAGCTGGAACTCTAGTGGAGGTGGATGAATCCTCCATCATGTGACCCATTGGATTGTGGAGTAACATAGACTTTGATTTTAAAATATCAAAATATATGAAATATTAAAATATTAATATTAAATATAGATCCTGATAAGGAAAAGATTTCTCATTTATATATTTTATTAGTTTTTTTGTTACAAGAATACTATTAGGTTTGTTTTATACCACTGTTTATGTATAATATATATAAATAAATAAATAAATAAATAAATATATATATGTTTTGTTTACTCTCTTCATGCTTATGTACGACTATAGGGCATAACCAGCTCTAAATCATTTATATAGAAAAGGCAATGTTTCGTACTGCGAAAGCAGAAACATGGGATCCAGTACCTGGAAGGGAAAAGTAAGTTCTGGGATGATTTTATTTTGATATATGTCTTCTTGTTTAACATAACAACTGTATGTGAGCAGGGATCTATAATGTGTGTGATTCCTGTTGGTGGAAGAGAAGGTGCTTAGATTTGCAATGAAAAATATGCAAGCACTTAATTTCCCTAAAAAAATATCACTCCTTTTTTACTATCGTAAAAGAATAGTAAAAAAAAATGAAATTGAAACAAATTAAAGAATATGAGATTTCTACCCTCTAAAGACTTTAACATAATTTCAGCATCTCTAGAACTCAAAAAAGAGACATTAAAGTCCTAATTGATAAGGACGTGGATGTCCTAATCCACCATCAGGAAGCAGATAAGGAGAGAAGATAAGTCATCATAATTTGCTACGTAAAAGGAGATGGATATACTTTGGTAAACATATATGCCCCCAATGGTTCATAATGGTTTTTTAACAACCTTATTGAAAATATAGAGAAATACACACAACGAAATGTAATAATATCTAGACAGGAGAACCCTTGGAGGTGCACCGCCAAAAAGTCAAGTTGAAACATACTTTTGACAATTCATAGATAGAATTCCTAAATAAACAAATCATAGATAGAAGTAATCTCTATGATGCATGGAGAATTTTTCATCCATATGAGAAAGACTACACATGTTTCCCGAGTGCTTTTTCAACCTATTTTAGAATCAATCTCTTTATGATCAATTCCATCTTTATAAATAATATTAAGAAAATCTTTATAAACTAAACCACCTGGTCTGCTCACAGTGCTTTAATTATGGAATTACATTTTCAAAAAGTTATCAATAAAAGAAATAAGGCTTGATAAAGACCTTAACAGGTCGAATCGTTGCAATAAATCTGCCTGCATACAATTTGCAGTGAGTGCCTGAGGTTTTTCTATTTGTATATATTCTTTGTTTTTTTTTTGCTGACCCATGCTCAGTAGCACCCTGGGCTGAATTGCTGTGGCTGAGTGCGACCCTACCCCTTTTTCTCTATCAATAAAAGAAATAACTGAAAACTTAACGATAACATTGTATCCATCAAACAAGATAGAGAACAAATATCCAAATACAAAGGAAAAGGCAGGAATTTTAAATAACTATTTCTCCTCCGTATTATTAAGGAAGAACCCATGGCAATAGATGTGCAAATGATTGCTACTAAAAACTTGCAGAATAATTGTAATTGGTTAACTCAAGACAAGGTGCTGCAGAAAGTAAAGAAAGTTAATATAAACAAAGCTCCAGAATCTGACGGTATCCATCCACGATAAATTAACCTCTGTTTTTAATCTTTCAAGATTCTTTTCTTTCAGGAAGTGTTCCGGAGGATTGGAGGAAGGCAGATGTGGTTCAAAATCCTTGCCTGGAAATTATAGACATGTGAGCTTAACTTCTGTGGCTAGGAAAATATTTGAAAGGTTATTAAGGGATAATATTCAACAATTCCTTGAGAAGAACATGGTTATCAACAAAAATCAGCACGGTTTTATGAAGCACAGGTCATGTCAAACTAACTTGATTGCGTTCTACGAAGTTGTACGTAGAAGTATAGATCAGGGTGTTGCAGTGAATGTGATCTATTTGTATTTTGCCAAAGCATTTTATACAGTTCCACACAATAGATTAGTGTTCAAACTCAAGGAAATTGGTCTAGATGAAAATGCTTGTTCTTGGGTAGAACATTGGCTTAAAAACAGAGAGTTGTCATTAATGGTAAATTTTCAAGCTGGACAGAGGTGGCAAGTGGCGTCCCTCAGGGGTCTGTTCTTCTATTTAACAAGTTTATAAATGATCTTGAAGACAGCGTTGAAAGTCATGTTTCAGTGTTTGCAGATGACACAAAACTCTGTAAAATAATACAATGTGAGCAAGATATTACTTTGCTGCAGAAGGATTTAGACTGGGGGACTGGGCACTCAAATGGCAGATGAAATTTAATGTTGAAAAATGCAAAGTTATGCACTTTGGCGTAAAGAATACACAAGCAACATATACCCTTAATGGAAGCGAATTAGGAATAACAACACACGAAAAGGACTTGGGAATTGTTATAGACAACAGACTATGTAACAATATGCAATGTCAATCAGCAGTGGCCAAGGCCAGTAAGGTATTGTCATGCATTAAAAGGGCATTCATTCTCGGGACGAGAATATCATTTTGCTTCTTTATAAATCACTGGTTAGACCACATATTGAATATGCTGTGCAATTTTGGGCACCTGTTCTAAAGAAGGATATTATGGCAGTAGAAAAGTGCAGAGGCGGGCTACAAAATTTATAAAAGGAATGGAGCATATCAGCTATGAAGAAAGGTTAACAAATTTAAACCTATTTAGTTTAGAAAAACGTCACCTGAGAGG